CTGTTGGCTCCCACCTGAACTGGGAGGCAGAGAAGGCTTTCGCTCTGTGCTGGCTTTCACTCTGTGGGCACTGTGGATGAGACTCCTGGGGAGCCCAGGATGTTGGTAGACAGGACGTCTAACTACTTGGTCAGGAAAAGCCTCCTCTAAGGGAAGGGAGCATGGTATCTGAAGGGTCTGCCAAACGTGAAGATGTGCGTGTTGGAGGCCAGAGGCTGGGCACTGGATGTTCAGCTGGAGAGACTGAGGCCACAGATACGGCATGGCAGAATGTAACCAGCTGTGGTTTTTCCACTTCCATAATTTGACTGCCCTGGAATGCTAGGGATGCTGAAACAAACAGTAAATGGTGGCATTTAGCTTGCAGGGACCTTCTTAGGGTTCCATTGACAAAGCACCCCGGTAGCTTCTTTGAGCCTTGGTGTAGTTCAGCCGGTTATTCTGGGTCTGGGTTGCTTCTCAGACATTATTGCGGCATCAGCCCCGGGGCCCCAGAGCCTGGGCCAGGGCTCATTCCTGCAGGCATGCAGGGAAGCCAAGGAGTGTTTTCTGTGCCTGCATCTGATGAGAATTTAAGTTTATGTTTGTCGCTGGCTTCCCCTCTAAGTGGCTGCCAGTGGAGTCGGCAGTGGGCTGAACATGGCAGTTGTATGAGGAGTTAGAAGCTCTGCCAGGGAACACCAGGCACTTTCGCTTTATGTGGCTGCAGCTGTGACTATTACATGTGTGGATTTTTTTAAATGAGAGGCTGGAGAACATGAAAAAGTTATTCTTTTCTGAAAAACGTAGATGTTGGACCATTCATTGCCAATTTTTAGTACTAAGGCATGTGCCTTTTGTTACTGTCAGATAAAAGTCAGCCGTAATTCAGACAGTATACAAATTGATGGCCAAATTTTTATTTCTGTTTTGGGTGCTGGAAATTGAATTGAGAGCCTTGGCATTCTAAGAATGTGCTCTGCCACTGAGCTACATCCCTAGTCCGTGGCAAAAAAAAATTTAGTTTAGGTATCTAGCAGGCGCCTTCTGAAGGGTAGGTGTCCTTCCTTGGTCACATCATTGATAATAATTAGCTGTACACCCATTTGATCAACTGTCATAGTTTTCGCTGATGTACATTCCTATAGTAATATAGTTCTGTGAAACTGTTGAGGGCCATTGTATTACTGCATATTATTGCATTGTATTACTGCATAAAGATTGTGTGGAAGTGCATATTGCTTCTGCTTCTTCTCAAACTAGTGGTACTTCCCGTCACAGAGTGAGTGTGGTGATTTCAACAAGCATACATGATGATATACAATTCTGTTTTAGTTAAGCACGTAGATTCTCACTCTTGTGTGAACTGCTTTGCATGTAGCACCCTCAGTCAGTCCTTCACGCAGCCCAGTGAAGCAGATGTCACTTCTTTCTAAGGCTCTTTGGGAACATTTAGTTGCAAGGTTAAGTTTCTTGTTGAGGGTTAAGGGTGCCTGTCATGGTTGGATCTGGAATGTTCTCCAGAAGTTCATGCATTGAGAAGCTTGATGCCAATAGCAATACTCAGAGGTGGGGTTTTGGGGTAGCTCTGGCCTCACCCATACATTCGTCTATTGATGGTCATAATTTGATGGGTTATTGAGAGGAACCTAGGAGGTGAAACCTAGTTGAAGGGAATAAGCTATGCCTTGCTCCTACTTCCTCCCTGTCTTTTCTCTGCTTCCTGGCTGCCTTCACTATGAGATGAGTAACTTTGCCTCACCTCATGCTCCCTGCCGCCATGCCTTTCCCAGAAACATTGGAGCTACATGACCATGATGTGAATTCTCTGAAGCCATGAATTGAAATAAGTCTCCCTCTTCTACGTTGATTTTCTGTTTGTTTGTTTGTTTTGTTTTTTCACACAGTGACAGAAAGGTGACTAACATAGCTAATAAATGCAGCAGGGTTTGCTTCTAGCCAGTCTGTACCCAGACTGTGTGGGGTCTGGGCTTCTGTCCCCCATGCAGGATATTCATAGCACAGTCAGCCCGTCAGGCTGCAGAAGAAGCTGGATTCTAGAGGTCATGCTAAGAAGGGCACCCTTCAGATGATTCTTGGCTGATGGCATGGCTTAGGAAGTAGAAATGCTTGTAGCAGCCTGACCACCTGTGTTTGATCCTACATACAAGTGGAGGGAGAGAGCCCACTAGTGAAAGTTGTCATCTGACCCCCGCTCGTACACACAGCACGTGTGTATCTACACTTACACGTACACATGCAGAATAACAGAAAGGCTCTGGGCAGCACCTCACATGGAAAGCTGTGCTGCTTTCTCTTTTTTTTGAAGAACTGGTGTAGAACTCAGGCCCCCCCGCCCCATGTCAGACAAGCACCCTATCACTGCTCGACATCTTTGTTTCTGTCTCTAGGTGGCTTCAGCTCTCCTACCTTTCCTGGGTGTGCCCTGTCCTTGTGGGTACTCCTCAGGTGGTGATCCCCAAGCCGCACAAGGAAGTATTGCTGTCTATAGCCTGACCCACACATGCATGAGGTCGTATTTTCTGTCTTTTAGATTCTTCTCGGGCTATTTGTCTTCACAGTGGTTCAGGTGCTTGTTGACCATAATGATTTATCCCCACCACCTTTACTCATTCTTTGGCCAAACTGAATGAGCGTTAAGGGCTTTCATCTTTCTTTATGAAGCGGAAAGCTCTGGGATGTAATCATTTCTGTGGTGGCTTATGTGGTTTCCTAGGTGCTGAGTTTTGTGGCAACATGATGCCTGTATATTTTAGGACAGAGAGGAAGGCAGGAGGAGAAGATGCAGCCGTGTCAGTGTGGGATGATGTGGTGGGAAATTTAACAGCCACAAACATCGAGTGGTGGAGTCGAAGGAAAGAGCTGTCATCTGTGAGTGAAACGTACTGTGTAATACGGAAAAGCTGTTGTTCATCTTGTTGTGCCAAACTGCTAAAGCCAGTACCTCTGGGACTTCTAGTTCCCTCCTTGCCAAGTTATTGAAGAAAAATGCTAGATGAAGTCTCCTTGAGTGCGGTGGTGGCTTTTGTGATTCTTGGAGTGTCACCTTACCCACAGAATTTGCTGAGTAGAGGCATCTTTATAGATGTTTGATGCTTAGTTCTGATGCTCAGGGTTTGGTATGAAGGATTATCTCATTACCCGAAACTGTGGCTGTGCATCAGGAGAATGACTACATCTCTCCAGCATGTTCTCTGGACATTCCTGCTCATGAGGCTCTCTTGACATTATCGGTATGTGAGGTAGATGACATTTTTACTGGAGGATTGTCCTGTCCGGAGTCTGCCATCGTGTCTTGACTTGTCTGGAGTCTCCTCCTCTGAGACTTGGACCCCAGTCACCTTCATGATGGGTAAGAATAGTCACTGTACTCCTGAGGAGGACACGTGGTAGCATGGCTAGCAGCATGGACCCCCTTGCAGGAGGCCAGCAGGAGGCCTGTAATGACCAGCTATGTCTCTAGGTATTGTCGGATCGCCCTGGGTGGGCGGAGGGACACAGTTGTCTCTGTTGAGCCACCGCAGTACAGCATGGCACTAACCTAAAGTTGTACATGACACAGACATGGGAGAACAGCAGACCGTGGCCACCCGGAGAACTCACTGGGTCAGGTGCATGGAAGTGATTTTTAGGGAAGAAAAGTAATACAGGGGAAGAAGAGCAGGTCTTTGGAAGTGTTTATGTAAAGAAGAACCGTGGTTGTGCATAGGTGTGCGACAGCTGTTTCTCTAGGCCTGGCTGGATAGTGCCTCTCTGTCTGCTGCCCTTCCCTGGAAGCTGCTCACAGGACTTGGTTGCTTTTTTTGCTAAGTTCTTACCGCAGAGAACAGCTCCACATCATCATCTGGCACTTTCTTACCAAGCACAAGTATTAGTTACTTTGAAGAGCTAACGTTCTGAAGGATGGAAGGGTGTGCTTTACCATCTGCTAGCAGCTTGCTGGGTGAGTTGCCCATCACTCCGGCCTGGCCTCTGTGCAGCTCTTGTGATTGGCGCCTCAGCCAGCACCGTGACCATCTTAGCCTCTCACATTCTCTTTGCCCTCCTTCCCTCAGACGTCTCCGCTACTCTTGCATAGGCCGTGGAAGTTAAAATGTAGTTCCAGGTGTTTATCAGTCCATGCTTTATCCCATTTCTACCGCTTTGTGACAGTTGATTGTCAGCTGTGTGCATGCTAAGAAAGTCACACTTTTTTAAAAAAATAATGGAATCCAAGGTTATTTACAGTTATTTACTTTTTTAAAAATTGTTTTTCTTTTTGCTCACAGCATCAGCGTTCATTCTAATTGTGGGAATGTACAATTAGCCTAGCTAATGGCCGCAACCTCTGTAAGCTGTGGTGTGTCGCAGGACCTTCACAGCTTGCACAGACATGGCATCATGCTTCTGAAATACAAATGTTCATCTTTTTTAAAATTTAAGTTTAATGATTAACACATTCTGAGTGGTATGATTGTCAGTATAATGGCACCTTTGATCCTCTTCAGTTGAGTAACTAGAAAAAATGCCAGATACAGCAGTTTTGAACAAAAGTTCATTTTCTTTTCAAAATAGTATGTTTTTATCCTGTGACTATTATTTTTAGCAGAGAAATACTAGATCTAAATAAAATATGCTCCTGTTAAACTGTATTACCATTTGGAAATACTCATTTATATTGAAAATTTCCTGAGTGTTTTAGGACGAAGGCCATGGATCTTTGAAGCTAGTAGAGAAGTCTCCCCGTAGGGTATGCTGAAGAGGAGTAAGTGGTTGTGATAATGAAATGAGAGGTACAGGAACCCTTCTAGAGGAGCTGTAATCATTCTGGGAAGAACTGACTTGAGGAGGCAGGAGGGAGAGTCGGTTTTCCTGGACGGTTAGTGTTGGGTAGTGATGGCCGCGGAGGCCTGAGAGGCCACCCTGATTTTCCCGTTCTTCCCAGTGCATAATCTACAGCTGTCTATTTTAATCTACCTTACAATCAAGATAATGGAAATGTGATTTCTTTTTCACTGTAGGAGATGGAATAAACTGAGGCTGCAGGACAAAGAGAAACGCCTGAAGCTTGAAGAGGATTCTGAGGAGAGCGATGCCGAATTTGATGAGGGTTTCAAAGTGCCAGGTTTTCTGTTCAAAAAGCTCTTTAAGTATGTGCCATTTGCGCTGTCCTCTGTCTGTCACCGAGCCATTGTGTACAAATTAACATTTAGAAATTACACAGTAGTTACCTGTGGGCCCTTAAGGTACTTGCAGCAATTTATTGCAAATCCAGACACTGTCAAATGAAATTTTAGCCACATGCTGTTCATTAAAATTAGATGATAATAAATTGACTAAGGTGCGCATTGGGTATGTTTGTAAACTGATGAATCTGTGTGGACTTGTCTCAGCAGACTAAAAGCAACACATTTAAAGCCTCTGCACCAAATTATGTTTTTACTCTTAGTAATTTTAAGGCATCAAACCTCTCATTTTAAAAATTATATTAATTTATTTAAGAAGACTTTTATATTAAAATCACAAGAGGAGTTCTATATATTAAAATCAAACCTTGGGGAGAATTTTTGCTTTTCGTTTTCACTTCTGTGTGGAAATAAAAATTATTGATTGTTTTCTGAGGATCTCATATCATACCTACGGGTATAATATTTTTGAGCTGACCAAATGTGCATCTAAATATTTTATGTGGATGTCTTTCTGCATAATGTCAAAAGATAAGACATAGACAACACCTCGAGTTTTAAGTTGCTCTTGGAAGCTGACTTAAGTTCTGTGTGTAAATGGCCAAGTGCCGTGACGACTGGGTGCTGCATGATAGATGTATGCTTGGTCTGTGCGGCTGGGCAGGACTCCTATGGTGGATGTAAATGCCGAGGGGCATTTTCAGTCTCCTCTGGCCGATCTACTTAACAAGATGCTTTGGGAAAGCTTCCTTAGAGGTGTGGGGAAGTTGAGCCACCAGACATCTTCTTTCCTTTCCCACCATCAGCTCATAGAGCAGGATGCCAACTTCTTTCTGTGAGATGACGAAGTTTAATGTCCTTTATAGATTCAGCTGCCAGCCATGCCCTTAACTTAGGGAAGTTAGCTACTTAAAAATAGCATGTTCTTCCTGTTTCCTCTCAAAGAGCTTTTTTCTGTGTGTGTGGCGTGTGTATGTATATGTACATGACAAGCACTGTACTGCTGAGTGACATTACCAGGCAAGATCAAGACCTACAAATAATATTTATTTATTTCATTATTGTGCCAGGGAGGTGGAATCCAGGGTTTTGCTCATGGTGGGCAAGAAGTGCTCTACCACTCACCCCCATATTATAGTTTTATGTTATAATTTTAATTTCTCTTTGCATTGGAAGACATTTGGGTGGGGGAATTAAGAGTAGTTATTTTATCCCATTAAACACAGTAAAACAGGTCCTAACTGAGCTGACGTGGCTGGGTGGCCTGACTAGATTAGAGGAGGAACCACGTAGAAGGTAAACCCTCCATCTCTGATAGTTTCTGCAGAGAAGTCAGTTCATAGCCCAGAAAGGCAAATAGTTTGTTTATTGCTACTCCCCAATGAAAATTAACTGGAGAAAGAGAAATAAAGATGACATTTATTGGCAACTCTTTTTATTTTCTCTGAAGTAATTGTTTATTAAGGAACAAGTAAAATAGTGTTCATGTTGCACTAGCAAAAAGTAATACCCAAATTATAGGTTAAGCTGACATAACAAGGACAGGCCTCTTCTGTGTGTTTAGTGAGTGATCTAGTAAATGTCTTCAGGAGTCAGACTGGATGCTCAGTTTTGGATAAGTCACATCTTGTAGCAAAGATGTCTCACAGGTAACAGAACCAAACTTTGCTTTATTGAGTGGATGTAAGAGTCACTGTATTGGCTAGTAACTTTACTAGAGTTGGTATAAATCCATGCTTGTTAGTGTTTTAAGTTTGTCTTAATTATACCTTTCTGGAAAGTATTCTGTTTTAAATCTACAAAAATAATTTAAAATACTTTACAAATGTTATTAGGTTTCATATCTTCTATTGTCATAAAAAGGAGAACTAAGAGAATCCCTGGTTTAGAAAGTTTATTTTATGTGTATGGATATTTTGCCTACATACATGTATGTGTGTCATGTGCATTAGTGCCCACAGAGGCCAGAGGAGGGCACCAGGTGCATTGGAACTGGAACTACAGCCAGTTGTGAGCTGCTGTGTAGGTGCTGGAAACCAAACCCAGGTCCTCCGCAAGAGCAGCAAGTGCTCCTAACTGCTGAGCCTGCTTTCCAGCCTCTGATTGCTGCCATTTTTAATGGTGCAGTTTTACCCAAGCCAGTTTACTTTTAAGTTGTGAATATATTTTTATTCTATTTACTACACTCAGTGGAACTGAATTAATGGGGTATAGTTGCACCCCAGGGAGTCAGGAGGCACCATTTTCCATTTAAGTGCTATTTTCTGCAAGATAATGTTTAACTTCTAAATTTCAGTTTTGAAAGTTTGCCCAGCAAATGTATTCATCTGTATAATTTAACAGCCTCACGACAAACTTCCATTTGTTTTGACCTTACCTTCCACCAAACTAGTAAATGCAGTCTTGGGTTAGTGTGACAATGCCAAGATCCACCATTATCTGTGGTTATTTTCTGATGCTTTGTCCCACTGGGATAAGAGTTTAGTAATTTCCTTACTGTTGTACAGCAACTTAAAAGACTACTTCACTTTCTAAAGAGTAAATTTTTTTTTTTTTTTTTTTTTTTTTTTGGTTTTTTCGAGACAGGGTTTCTCTGTGTAGCTTTGCGCCTTTCCTGGGACTCACTTGGTAGCCCAGGCTGGCCTCGAACTCACAGAGATCCGCCTGGCTCTGCCTCCCGAGTGCTGGGATTAAAGGCGTGCGCCACCACCGCCCGGCTAAAGAGTAAATTTTATATGCTTCCCAAAGATTGAAAAACTGGATTCTGTATCCTGTTTTCACTTGAACTGTGGAGTTGTTTGTGGTCTTTACTCTTCAGAGTGTAAAGCAGTAAAACCAGGGCATTTACTAGTTCTGGGGGAGCCAGAGACCGGGCCTGTCGTTCCCCACTCATCCCACATCCCTGATGACCTGGGTGCTGGGTGCTGGGTGCTCCTCTGTTACCTGTTTTCAGCTGAAGTCTGAGGGCCTGTTGTGGTTGGGTGGCGAGAGCCACCTTTGTACAATCTTTGCTGCTGAGCTACAGTCCCTGGGCTGCCTCCTAAGTATTCCTCCTTGTGTGATTGCTGTACGACTTCTTACCTTTTTGTAAGCGTAACATTCTGTACCCTGTGAAAACCCTTGGAGTTTTAGGGTAGGAGATGTCAAAACACGTAGCCCACTGTTGCTGATTCTCCAGGGTCACGTGGACTCCAGTGTCCAGTTCATTTCCAGATTCTTTCTGAGAGACACCAAACTGATAAGTATTCCTTTCATAAATCCCAAGTTGCTGATTCCCAAATTCTTTCCATTTTAATTAAATGTGGGCCCTAGAGGAGTGTTGGCCCTGTGTTGCATGGATTGATTTCAGGGTGGCCACTAGGAGGTCCAAGGCCTGCTGGGAGCTGCTCCCATGACTTCTCTGCTTTGGTAGGAGAAGGCTGATGGCTAGAGTCCAGTCTATTTTGTTTTATTTTCATTATTTTTAATTTTTATTCTTTGGAGACAGGGATGTAGCTCAGGGTGGCTTGAAAACCTCTTGCCTTAGCCTCTTGTGTGTTGGGATTATAGGTGTGTAGAGCCAGTTCAGACACCAGATTTTCTTCCAAGTCAGGGCTGCCTCAGCCTTGGCACTTGACATTTTGGGCCAAGTTGTTTTCTGTAGTGACTGACCACAGCATTAGAGAATGAATAGCATCTCTGGCTTTGGCCTATTAGATCCTAATTCTTCTTTCCCACTTGAAAAAAAAAAAATGGTCTGTAGACATTGCCAAATGCCCAAGGGAGCGGGTTATCCCTGGTTCAGGGCCGCTGTGCTGGATTATCTCCAAAATGGGATCCTTTGGAGTCACACACTTGTGGGTTTCCAGTTTGCTTGTGTTCTTGTTTGTGTGTCACTCCCTCCCCTTCCCCTGTCCCCTCCCCTTCCCCTGTCCCCTCCCCTTCCCCTGTCTGCTCCTCTCCCCTGTCCCCTCTCCCCCCTCCCCTCCCCTGTCCCCTCTCCTCCCCTTCCCTTGTCCCCTCCCCTGTCCCCTTTCCTCCCCTGGTCCCTCCCCTCCCCTGTCCCCTCTCTTCCCCTTCTCTTGTCCCCTCCCCTGTCCCCTCCCCTCCCTCCCCTTCTCTCCTCTCATGCCCTCCTTTCCTGAGCCTTTGCTTCCTGCCTATAAAATATACCATGAACCCGTTCCGTCCAGGTTGACTGTGAGGCTTGTCTACCTGGGCCAGAGCTTCCCATGCATTTACAGAACTTGTCTTTCTCTTCAAATTAATCAATCTTATTTTCATACCACATTGGGTTTTGATATTTAATCCTTTTATCCAAAGTGTGTATTCAATGTATTTATTATAATTAGCCAAACTAATAAGCAGGAAATATCCCAAAGTTTTTCTTATACTGTGAGCAATGACGTTATCACCTGGAGTCATACTGTTAAAGTTGACTTACAGAATCCTGAAAGGACATTAATAACAGGCCAGGAGCTGAGGTCCACAGTGAGATGACTCATTTCTCTGTCCTCACCTATCTCCACCCCCGCGATTCCTCCTTTCCTTGTTTCAAGACACACCTAGAACTCCTGGAATTCTCCTGCCTCAGCCTCCCACGTGCTGAGGTTATGGATAGGCACTACCATACTTGGCTCAGAAGAAGATTTTAAGTAGGCAGAGCAGATACCAAGTAGTGAATTCTGGGGCGGTCAATCAGGAATAGTAACCCTCCTGTCTCTTGGGGTAGCCCTGTGGCCATGGTGTTTCCTTTGGGTGGGTTTTCCTTTAAGTTGGCATATAATCTTCATTCCAGTCCATGGTATCAGGTCGTTATTAACTACTGAAAATATTTTTGCTTTATTACTTCACAAACAAACAACAACAAAAAAAACCCTTAGAGGTTGATAGAGTGATTGTTGAAGAAAGGAAAATACCAGCTGCATATTTTTCTTTTTTTGAGAGAGAGAGATAGGTGAGGGAGATATTGTTTCTTTTTTCTTTTCTTTTCTTTTTTTTTTTTTTGCATTCCTTATTTAAAATTCTAATAGCCTCGATCTTGTTATCTTTGATAAAATCTTTGAATCAATTTGTGCTTTAAAACATTAAAAGACCTCTTACACTGTTTGGCTTTTTTTTTTTTTCTTCTTTTTTTTTTTTTTTTTTTGGTTTTTCGAGACAGGGTTTCTCTGTGTAGCTTTGCGCCTGTCCTGGAACTCACTTGGTAGCCCAGGCTGGCCTCGAACTCACAGAGATCCGCCTGGCTCTGCCTCCCGAGTGCTGGGATTAAAGGCGTGCACCACCACCGCCCGGCATGTTTGGCTTTTATAAACAGTTATTTTTTACATCTGTGAGTCACACTAATTTTAAGAACAGCCCTATTACTCATACTTGTTTATGGCCTTAAAATTTAATTTAATTTTCCCTATAAAAAGATAATATGTCTACAAAGTGACTTTACAACTGTGTAAGCTATAAATTGTGGTGTTCTCTGCCCTGCTTTTTTGATGCTATTTAGATGAAAGTATCACTTCTGTTTTGTAGAAAAACTTACGGAACTTTATATACTTAGAATATTTGAGATTCTTATTTTACAGAAAGTGAATTAAAGCTAGTAAGTTTATGCTTGTTTATCAAGCTATATCTAATGTTGTAAAAGAAATAAAATAGTCCTTAATTATCCCATCTATCAGTTTAATTAGAAATGTGTTAACATTCTATAACAAAAAATTACGATTTTTTTTATGCCTAACTGATCAAAAATGTATGACCTTATAAATATAATAATCATATAAAACACGCATCCGGCACGTTTCTCTGACTGGTACTAGAACCTAACCAAATGATTAATTCATGAGTACTTTCTGTTACACTCTGTATCACCCACCATTTGCTGTTTTCTCTTTTCTTGTGTTTGTTGTTGTAGGTATCAGCAGACAGGTGTTAGGTGGCTGTGGGAATTGCACTGCCAGCAGGCAGGAGGAATTCTGGGAGACGAAATGGGATTGGGCAAGACCATCCAGATAATTGCCTTCTTGGCAGGTCTGAGCTACAGCAAGATCAGGACTCGCGGTTCAAATTACAGGCAAGTGCTCCTCTGCAGACTGTCAGTCTGTGGCGCTCAATTAATATTTCATCAGATGTATTGCTGTGGAGGAGGGTCTTGTGAATTATTGATGACATTTCAATTACAATATTCCTTTAATTCTTTTAGTGGGGGACATCAAAGGAAAAATTTTACGAGACAATGGAGCTGTAGGGCAGGAGAAATTAAACATGTAACACTTGTAATGAATTCCAGGCGTTGATGCTTCATTTTGCAGATGGGCCCCACTAGATATTTTGGGTCAATACGATGTCTAAGGTTAGCTCTTGCAAATGGATTGTTTACAAACTCAATTATGTTAATATCAATAGTTTACACAATATGGAATTTTAAATTAGACATAATACCTTTAGTCCCATTTATTAAATTTTACATTAAAATATTTGTTCTGGCAGAAGACCAGGTGAGCATTACAGTCAGTACGAGTCTGCTCATGGACAAAATTGGAGCTTTGAAGAAGCCGTTCTCTATGGTTCCTTTAGAGTCTGTGTGCATGATAGCTTTTAGAGGCATGCTCACTCTTTTGGAGTGAAGTTTCTTAATCCTCTCCCAAGGTCAACACCTACGTGACTTCCTGAAAGCATAGGAAGTAATTTTAGTCTTTTTCTGCTCATTTTGTAATGCACTGTTAAAGCATTAGTATTTTAAAAGGATAAATGTTTAATCTGTTTGGAGGTAGCAATGAAATGTTTGTTCTTGCAATAAAGAGTTGTGAGCATGGCCTTGTTTAAATTGTAAATTAGCTTCATGGAAATCTATATTGGTAAAAATGTTGCTAGATAAGTTACGTAGGATGTTCCATCTTGGACACACGTGAACCAAGAGCTCCCTACCTTTCAGTAGGTTTATCTAATGCATAGCAGTGATGGAGTTACCAAGTGGTTCTGTGTCCTATGACTTGAGTCACCCATTGTATACAGTTTGGCGATGTCTTTGAAACAGTGTTGATGTGTTCAAAGTCAACTGCAGAACATTACTGCCCACATTCTAAGGAACTGGCACAAAAATGTGCAGTAGGGAGCAGATGTGGACCGTAAGCTCCTGACTGAAGGCTGTTACTGAGTCTTGCGAGCATCCTGCTTTGCCTGCATTTGTCACTCTTTCTTCCAAGTCTTTTACTCTTTGCTCAGTATCAGGTCAACACTTGTGAGGAGTGTTTCAAGTTTTCAGAGTTTTTAAGAAAAGATTTATTTTTAGTGGTGTGTGTGTGTGTGTGTGTGTGTGTGTGTGTGTGTGTGTGTGTGTGTGTGCGCGCGCCTATGTGTTGTGTTGGGGTATGTGCATATGACCGCAGGTGCCTGTGAAGTCCAGAAGAGTGTGTTGCCTTCACTGGAGCTAAGAGTCATAGGTTGTGAGTCATGTGAGTGGGTGCTGGGAACGGAACTCAGGTCCTCTGTAAAAGCAGTGTGTGCTTTTAACCATTGAGCCATCTCTCACCCCTAGATATTTTTGAAAGCCCCCTGTAGGAGGAGGAAATATGTTCAAAAGAATTTTAGAAACCAAGCATTGTGTTGTTATAGGGAAGCTGTATTGAAGCAGGAGAATGTCTGTAGCTATCAGAATACTTCTTCAGATGTAGGATAGATTTTGCCTGGAAACACGAGAATATTCTAGCCTAAGAAAAAAGTCAGCTGAAAATGGGCACCTGAGGTTTTCCTATCTGTGACTGTCATTTAGCATTTAAAAATGACCTTTTCTGTCCCCAGTGGGCGTGGTCTCCACAGCTCTTGAGGTTTCTGGTAACTAGAATGCCCTAACTGTCCCAGATGTTTCTAGGGCTTTCTCTCCTTAAATGATTTCTGCAGTTTTCTTACTTCCCCCTTCTTTCTCCTCTTCCTGTTCCGTTGTCATGAACCTTGTGTGGAGTCTTAACATTCCGGGCGAAGGAGACTCGGCTCATCCCTGCAGTGCAGTTTTGATCTAGAAATTAAAACATGTCCTCTTGAGTGGTGGCAGTCCTGTGAGGAGTGAAGTTAGGGCTTGTAATGAGCATCAGCTGCAATCAATTAGCTATCAATGCTCATATTCTCTTTCCATAATGAAATAGTGTGGCATATTGGACTGGCGCCCGGATCGTCTTTATTAAAATAGTATTGGTGGAACTGGCTTCTGAGAATGTGGCAATGTATCGGCCAACTACAGGGCTGACTGAGGAGGGCTGTGCTGAGAGGCTCCGTAAGGAGTGATGTACCATGTCTTTCTGTACTAGGTGAACTTAGGTCTTAAAGAACAGTCGCCCTTAGAGCAACAGGACCATCTGTGTAAGTTGGTATTGCTTTGTTAGCTGTGTACTTTTTCTGTTTTTTAAATAATTCTTGCAAGCTAGAGATGTTGGAGTCCTCATTGGAGGTGGTGACCCAGTTTTAAGGTCTGTGAACATTGTGAAACCGCAAGTCTCTGTGCTATCAAGAAACTTGTGGTAAAAGCAGTCCGTTGTATCAATTTATGTTTTGATGGAGGTTGAAGAACTGCTTTTGGAAGAGGAAGAAAAGAAGTATATTACATGGATGAGTAAGTGAAAATGGCAGCTGTGTTCCCAGTTCCCAGTGGATGCGCTGACCTTTTACTTGACCATTCTTATAGGGATGGGCCCTCTGATTTTATAATGGAGAAGATGTAAATGATTTACCTCTCACATTTCAGTTAATACTTGATTGTCATTTAATTAATTTCTAATGAAGAGTTAGTGTTCTAAAAAAGCTAACAAACCTTGGAAGGTAAATGTTACAATTTGTAATTCCCAGTAAGTTCTAGGCTATAACTAGTAGGCTTCCCACTCATAAGTTGAGTATTTGACCATGGAGCTATTGACTTGTCCTAAATTCATTAAGTAATCAATGATAATCAAAGATGAAAGGAGCTATAGTATGTTTGGTAATTGATGCTAATCACTCTAGTACATTTAGCCATTTTGTATCATCTCACTGGTATTGAGGCTGGGAAAGTGGTGCACTTGCCTGCTAATGGGTTTGATTGCCCCCTTCTCTGCTCCAGGAATAGTCTGCCTCGGTTGTGGGATTTCAACCCAGCTTGAAAACCTCCCTGCTATTCTAACAGAGGGGGAATGATAGAAATTAAAGGACACGGTAATGCCAGGGAGCAGTTCAGCTGGGATTAAATAGTCATCTTAAGTGAGCAAGTATGTCATGGACATAGCAGTTTATAGAAGGTCTATTATAAAGGAGAGAAAAAGGTGTACAGCCTGAAAAGGCATATATGTATATACATTCAAACTCATTTGAAAGTGAGCTTGTTTTAGACCCTTTAGACCGCTGTTGATTGGCTGTTTCTTAATCCATGCCGAATGCATATTGATGACAACTCCTTTTTATTCTCACTGGAGGATATAAAGAAGCTGGCACATTTAATCCTTTTAAGAAGGAATGCTGCCATGGAAGGGGCCAGGGGCCAGGGGCCAGGGGCAGAGTCCTGCTCTCCCAAGGGTGAGTAGAGACACCCACCTGGGCCCTGCCTTTGGTGACAGCATGGCTTGTGGGAAGGGTTGAGTTTGTTATGACCCCTGGATTCTCTGATCCAACCTTGAGGGCCAGGGGACAATGAGCATGTACAACAGGAGGAGAAGGGCTCACATGTGGACAGAAGCATTCCATCGTGTTGGAGTACAGGAGTAAAGCTTGTAGTTGGCCAGTTCTTACTTTTCCACCAGACCAATTTCCTTTCAGTTATATAGATGATTTTTAAATTTCACGTTCTGTGTGGTTCACATTGAAATTTTAAACATTTTAAGTTTAGGAATCATTTCCTAAGCTGCAAGAAGAAAACAAAAATTATGCATGTCTTTCCAACTTAAAAATAACGCCTTTCACATTTCCTTCCAGTCTTTAAATACATTTTGTTGTGTTCGTCCGTTATATGCCGTGGGCTGGGCCCTGAGGTCATACCACAGAGACTGCCCAGACTTCTAAAGAGCTGAAGAGGAGCGCTGTACGTCATAGCAGGGTTAGCATGGGTGCATCAAGGAAGGCTCATCTGCCTGTCTGGAGAGGAAGGGCAGCTCTAGCAAGGATGAGGCGGTGAGAGAAGGGAGAAGAGGGAAGGGTCTAGAAGACAGAGTGTGTGCTACATAGGGCCTGAGGACAGTGCAAGCTGGCAGAGTTCAGGGTCAGGTGCTAACGGTGTCAGTAGTAAGGCAGGTGAGGCTGGAGCCAGATCTGCATGGCCTCATGGCCAGGCCAAGGTGTAGATGCTGTTCCAAGAGCAGTGTGCAGCCATGGAGGCCTTGAGGGAGGACCTGGGCCATCCAGATTTTACTTCCAGAAAGTGCCAGAAGATGCCACAACATAGATGAGATGATAGTTGCTGCAGCTGGAACGGTGACACTGTACAGGGAAGGTGATGATGACTTGTAGACTTAGGAGGTAAAAGGATGTGAATTTATACAGGTGTCTTACGGTGGGAAGCAAGAGGATTGATCAGAGAACAAAACGGACTTCTGGTTTGGTGCCCTGAAGATGACAGTTCTGTCCTTTGGATTGGAAAGCCACGAGGGAGGGGTGGCGTGTGAGGACGTCACTATTGATTTTTGACTTGTGTTTCATCTTAAGCACTAAATAGCATCCATACACACACAGGAGAGAGCAAGAAAAATGGGTCCCCTAACCTGGGGTGCGGGTTCTTCCTGAATCAGGCAGTTCTCCTGAAGGAGTTTCAGGGCATGCTGTGCTGTTGGGCTGTGGATGGATGGGTTCCCCACTTCATGGCAGTCAGTGCTTAGGACCCCATAAAATAAATCTCTCTGGGAGCCAGAGTTCCATCTGCTCCCAGTGAGGCTGAAGGAAGCAAGGCAGGAGAGAGGAAGACCATGTGGACCAGTGCCTCCTCCTGCCTCCCACTGCCCGGGTGTTAGGAAACTGCAGTGATCTGTAAGGCTTTGTTATTTAAGTTTATTATAAGCATTTTCGCAGGCTATTAAATAATTCTCAAAAAATGAAAATTGTAATGGTTTTAATTTTAATGGTTATCTGATATTCTGTCTCCATAAACCCTTTTAATATTAGTATTTACTAAATGACACTGTTGTAAACATTTCACAGATGTTAGCTGTCTTAACATCTAACAGGAGGGAGAAAATGTTTTGCTGTGTATTTTTTGTTTGTCCCTTTACTATAAATGTTGAGTTCCAAGTGTGTCATTTACTGCTGTTAATTCCTGCATCCACTAAGTAATGAACAGATTCATACAGACTCTAGTTACCGTGAACCTCGGCAGCTTTTCTTCTTAAAGAAAGCATCAGTACATTTTTATAGGTTATTTTCTTTTTTGAACCACTCAGGGGTTTTAGTTTTGGCTGTTAGTCACTTTCTCCACTGTCTTTCATTATTGTGTTTTCTTGGATTTTTGGGTGCAGGTTCGAGGGACTGGGCCCCACTATAATTGTTTGCCCAACGACAGTGATGCATCAGTGGGTGAAAGAATTCCACACGTGGTGGCCTCCATTCCGAGTGGCAATTCTGCATGAAACAGGCTCCTATGCCCACAAAAAGGTAATGTTACAGTGCTTGACTATTTGGCTTTTTTTTTTTTTTTTTGAGCCATGCATTTCTCAAATGCATTCGCATACATTTGTTTCATCTTAGTTTATTTAATTATTGACTCGAGGTTCCATATCATCAAATAGATATGAACAAAGGCTTTCTTGTTTATTAGTGTAAGCAGTGGTGTGATGTTTTGATCCAACAAAACATAGCTGGGCACAGACAGGGACCACAGGCTGATTGTGTGCACAGGATCACCAATCAGGTGGTCTACATGACAGTTGACTGGAAGGACTTTTGTCAAACAGTCTGAGAAAAGTAACATACAGATTGAGCATCCCTAATCAGAAATCTGAAATGCTCCAAAATCTGAAACTCTGAGCAATAACACTACAACTGGAAGGGTCCATACCTGACTCAGGTGACACCATGAAAATACAGGTACACCAAAATCTTTGTATTAAAAACTGCCAGCAGGTAACCTGTAGAAGATCTGTATAAGATGTAATGAATTTTGTGTTTAGGCTGGGCTCCGTCTCCAAGGTACCTTAGCACATATATGCAGACATTCCAAAATCTGACATACCCCTAGTACCAATGCATCCTGAGTAAGAAATATTTACCCTTGATTGATAAAATGCATCTGTAATTATGCTTTTTAAATATGTTTCTGATGCAGGAAAGAAAGCCTGCTACTTTGACACTTTCCTAGATACAGATAGTTTAATTTTCTTACGTGGTCCTCCTGGATCACAATTTAGTGGACATTGAAGGGATTTCTTTTTACCATTTATTAAAGAACAAAACTCGTGGACAAATATCAAAGATAAAAACCTGAGGCGAATCACAAGCGACTGTGAAAACACCTGCCACCACTTGCCTCCGGCTCCAAGAGCAAGCCACACTTTCTTGCCCTGCCTATTCTCCTCTGGGCTCAGCTCAGCTCCTGAACGAGCTCCCCTGCACCACAACCATGGGCCTGGAGGTTTCTCCTCACTGAGAGACACTCTGCAGCCACAGAACTCCTGGCCCTCTGTAACTTTTCTCTGTGTTCTTCTTTTTTCCTGCAAATCCATGCACTCAGGATTTTGGCTAAGCAGAGTTTTTGATAGAAGTGGATCAGAAATATCTATGATGGAGTCTCTCAGATCAGCTGAGTTGGAATCTCGCTTGCTACAGCCAACTGTCTTTACCCAGGATTTTAGAAGATAAGTAGAAAACAAATTGAGTTGAGAGAATTAGGAAAATAGAGCAAGTGCTGTGATTTAAAAGAAATGATTTTTAGCAGTATGAAAACAGAAATGGTTTAAGTTGTTTTTCTAGTCAAACTCTCAGCTGCTAACTGGTTTCATCCGTGTGAAACATTTCTCATTCTGCTTTAATTTTCCTGTTGCTTGACATCTCTTAATGTCCTATGTTGCAAACTTGTATAAAGAGTAGTCTTCATGTACACCGCATATATTGACTAACTAGTGGAAACATAATTGACAGTGAGCCTGTTGGAGGAACTTGGGTCCCTTACCTGTCTGGTGGCAGAACCTTAGGGATAATGTTCACCTTGGCCCACAGCAGTTGCAGCTTCTTTGCTGGTTTCATTTGTGGTGGTGTGTGTTTTTTGAGATAGAGTCTTGTTTGTAGCCTTGGCTGGCTTGAACCTGTGACCTTCCTGCTTTCCCTCCTTCATGCTGAGGTTTCCCCTGCTAAGGGAGTTTTACCCACATTCATGGGCGTGCACGTGGCTGTTACTCTTTTTTTTTTTTTCATTGTTTTTTATTACAGTTTATGGTTCTCTTTTTTTTTCTAACAGAAAACAATTGTAGATGAGTTGGTAAATATTTATTTGTGGAACAACTATAAATGTTGTATTCCAGGTGTTTCATATTGTTAGGTCTCAGGAAAAAAAAAGGCTATGATGTTTTTAATTAACCTTGAAAAGCTAACTCTTTTCTTGGGGAAAGAACATCCATGAAAGATAATGAAAGAAGGCAGTTTGTGGTACTTATCCCCACAACGCACAGTGGGTGGTGGCGTCATTAGCGCTGTGCTGAAAAGCTTATTTAACGATTAAGGAGCTTCCTTTCAGTTTGCTGGAAGATGTGTAATGAGAGATTGCCTGTATTCCAGAATAACTGTCACTGCCTCCCACCTTCTCCTGACATACGGTAGGACTAGTGATTTTGTGGACATTTTAAATAATCCAGAGTTTTGTCTCATTTTGATCAGCTCATGCCACCAGAGTCCTAGGAATGGAAAAACAAAAACCAAACACCCATCTCCTAAAGTTTCAGGAGAATAAGGTTTGTTTACCACAGCAGGGTTTGAGCTGCACACCTGCTGTCATGGAATTGAAATTGATTGTTTACTTGGCTTCTCTGAGCCTGGTGATGATTTTATGAAGGTGTATTGGGTTGATGTACATGCATGAAGAACATTGTGTGTTCCCTGATAACAGTTACTCAGTTAGTTATTTTCTTGATAGTAACATATCATATCTCAGGCTTTGATCTTAGTGGTTGCGAAAGATGGCCCTGCAGACCATTCAGTATACATTCTAGATAGGAAAGTTCAGACCTTTCTTATCAAAAATGTTCATGGCCAATGTCTGGATCTTTTTTCTCATGCCCTACATGGAAAGAATGAATTAGAATGTTACCATTCTTTTTAGAAAATACAAGGTTAGGGATGGTTCAAAAGCAAATTGCAGTTGTATTTGGCCATCGGATGCAACTCTGACTGGCATTCTTTAAAAAGACCTGCAATCTGGACCATGAGCCAGACCCTGGAGTTAAAAAGTGGGAAGGGAGGCTGCTGAGATAGTTCAGTGGGTAGAGTGTGTCCATACAGGGTTAGTGATCGGAGAAAACCGACTCCAGAGAGGTGTCCCCTTACTGCTACATGCATGCTGTGGCAACATGTTCAACTGTATAGACACACAGACAGACAGTCTGTCTGTCTGTCTGTCTGTCTGTCTGTCTGTCTCTCTCTGTCTCTCTGTCTCTCTGTCTCTCTCTCTCTCTCTCTCTCTCTCTCTCTCTCTCTCTCTCTCTCTCTCTCTCTCTCATAATGAGACCATTAACTGTAAAAAGAGAGGGAAAAATCAAAGGGACACATGAGAATGGAAAGAGTGGCCATGTGCCCCTTCAAGCATCCTGAACTTTTCAGACCCCTTCCAAGTACACGATTATAAAGCAAAGCGTGGTATTTCCTGTGAACTTCAGAGTTGCTATAGCACCTGATACGAAAAGCCATAGATGCTCGGTTGGTTCTGTGAGCTATACTGTAAAATTACGTTGCCGGAGCCCTTTTTTCTTCATTGTCAGCACAAATCCTTGTTTATTAAAGATTTAGCTTGAAGGAAATTTTAATTAATTACAGGTGCAGTAAATCCTGCCTGGGAAGCTGCCGCACCGTGTTTACTGTGAATGGCCTTCATGTGCCTGTGCTGCACTGTTCTCCCCGCTGCCTGACAGTGTGATTTATGGCTGTTGTTTCTACCAGTCCACTGTTTGCCCTCTAGGAGGGATTGGTCTCCTGAGCCTCCATAATAACGGCAGCACTTCCTCAGACATCTTTTAATGACAACAGCACTACATTCAGTAAGTCAGGCTAATTGCAGATGTACCCTATTAATTGCAAAAACTAGGAGAGGTTACATATTTTACAAGCTTTTAATTTGAAACCGCCCGAGATGATTTGTCTTAAGTGTTTGGATTGAGACGTCCATAATATTCAACAATTCACCATTATTGAAACTCCAGTCCAGGCGGTTGTAGAATTCTGAGATTGAATCAAGTGAACATCAGTAGTCATAAATGGATTGTTACCCAGTGGAGACTGTGTTTTCATTGTGGACATTTTGTACACCTTGTTCTTTCTGTAAAGCATCTTCCAAATTCTTTATAATCATTATACATCTTTGTGAACACAGTATAAATAGGAATTCTGCGGTTCTGTAGGTAACATGTAGAGTGCCCCACATAAGTTCGTAAGCAATCACAAGAAGCTACACATTGCTCGAGTGGTATACATTTAGCAGGCTCAGTGTCTCGTTAGCTTAACTGTGATAAAGCTTCTAACTGCATCAAGTGATTCCAAGAACTCGTTTTGGGATCGGGCAGTTTTTGGGTGACTGTGGTGAGCTTGTGAACCTGCCTTTGCAGGGTTTAGTCAAACACAGTCAATGAATGTTTCATAAATGTGAGTGGTGGTTTAGCTTCCACTCCTATTTCAAGCCCCAGGCAACTGTAATTGTTTTCTTTCCTGTCTCTCAGGACAGCAGTCATATGTCTTATGGCTGACACCTAGACAGCAGTCAGTCCTGGAGTATCCACTGCTGTCACTCCATGCTCTTCCTGCTCTCCTAGAGGGATGCAGGGGTAGACCTGGGGTGTTGCCTGCCTGGAGTCTCGGTAGGAAATGTGGATGTGGAGGAACTGAGGGAATTAGCTCTCAGGTCTCAGAGTTAACGGGGTTCAGGGTGAGGCTGGGAAGTCGCATCTGCTCCTTCCATGGTTCTTTTTCTGTACTGAGCACTAGCAGCTGAAGGAGTGGTACTCTTGTCAAGGAGGTGGGATCAGGGTGAGTCTTAGTTCTCTGCCCGTGTTTTCAAGGCTGTCCACCACAATAATTGACTTATTCATCAGAATATCAAACTAGGGAACTGGTTCAATAAAGTGGTGTAGTATTGTGCATTAGACATTGAACTTTTCAATGTGGCAAAACAGTAGTCACGATAATATTATGGGTCACACTCTTGAGCCTTTACTGTATCTTTGGCTTATGTCTAAAAAGCAATTTTTATTATCTCCTTGAATGCCTTGTGTGTTATGGCACATGAGCAGATAATTTCCCACTTCAGTGTTTTTTGTACTCTTTTACACTTTACCAGACACACACACACACACACACACACACACACACACACACACACACACACACATGTATTGTCTACATACCTTGTTTGAAACCAGGTCTCACTGTGTAGCTGAGGATGGTCTTGAACTTCTGACTCTCCAGCCTCCATCCCCTGTGCTGAGATTACTGGTGTGCACCAACCAAACTCAGTTTATTCAGTTCTGGAACTTGAACCCATAGGCAAGCACCCATACACAAGCTGTGTGGTGGTGAGGACAACTTGTGGGAGTTCTCTCTTTCTACCTTGTGGATTTGGGGAATTGAACTCAGGTTGTCAGTCTTAGTAGCAAGCGCCTTTACCCACTGAGCCATCCTCTTCCCTTTGTTTGAGCGAGGGTTTTGCTCTACAGTGCAGGCTGGACTTCAACTTGTGAGCATCATGCCTCAGTCTCCTAAGAGTTGAGATTACAGATGTGTGCCATCATGCCTGGCCTAAGAAATTTTAAACTCCCAGTTCCTTAAGATGACATTAATAAAATTAGCTCTTTTGGAAGATTTTTGAATTATAAACAAGGTGTGAATGTTATTAGACTTTCTTTATCTGTAAAGTAATAGCTGTAGCTTTGGGTTTTTCTGCAGTTCTGTCAGTTTGGAGAACTGGGCTCTGCTGCTTATAGCACCAGTTGGACCAGTTTGAAGAACCTGTGGCACTTAGGACACCCTGTGTGAGGTAATTTGCAATGGGAAGAATGTGACTCCCTTTTCCAGTCCTTCTGCTCCCCCAGTTAGTCTGATTTTTCTTGTGCCCATTCTCTTTTGAATAATTCATTTTTGTGACTCATTTTGAGGTTTTCTGATATGCTGTTAGTGGTGTTGTATTCTTTCCACAAGTGACATTTTTCAAGCTACAAACTGAATCCGTTCTTTGGTTTATCTTTTCAGAGTTACTTGTTTGTTCTGTCCATTGTTATTTTGGCTTTCTTTGAGACAGGATCTGGTTCTGTGACCCTGGCTGGCCTGGGACTTCCCATGTAAACCCTCTGCGTTCTGAGTGTTGGGCTATAGGTGTATGCTGTCACACCCGGCTTGCTCTGTCTGTCCCCGGTACTTTCTCTAAGAGTCACTGGCCCTTCCTCTTTGGCTGTCATTTTCCCTCCCTTGCCCATTGAGTTGCCAGTGCATCCGAGTTGGTGTTTTCCGGAGCGCACACGTGAAGGATGGGTGCTCTGTCTGTCCAAGCTGCAGTGGATAAGACTGCATGAGAAGGAGCTTGACAGCATGCCCAGCTCTCGGAACCTCCGTGTGAAACTTCCATTTGCTTGGCTCAGTGCTTGTCTGTGAGAAGGTTTCAGACCAGGGGTTCCAGGAGCTGTCCTGGTTGCTCTGGGGGCTCTGTCCATGTTTGTTACAGTGTTCTATGTAGGGAAAGGCTTGTAGTCTTCTTTTTTAATGTGTCCTTCCCTTTTAAGAGATAAAATAAATGGTATCAGTTATTTTATTGCAACTTCTGTCCTCTTTTATTTGCATTTCCTTGGTGTGTCTTTACTAAGTCCCAGGTCGGTGTCCCGCGTCATCTGGTTTAGGTGTCCTTTAAGCTCCAGGCTGTTTTTGTCATCCTTCCTCATGTGTGCGCATGCGTGAGAGGCACGTGGAGGTCAGAGATAACTCGTCAGACTCAGCTCTCCTTCCACCGTGCCTGGGTGGCGGTCACACTCAAGTCACCAGGCTTGTTGGCAAACGTCTTTACTCACTGAGTTGCCTCACTAGCCCAAGACCTTGTCTTTAAAGAAAAGGTGGACACAGCTCCAGAGAAGCTAGCTAACAAGGAGGACCCAAAGAGGGATGCATGGGTCGCCCTGGGAAGGGAAAACAGATGAGATCTCCATGAGTAGACTGGGGATGAGGGGTGGGCAATGGAGGGTAGGGGATGGGGGATGAGAGCATAACGGAACAGGATGGTCGAGCTGGAACAGGGACAGAGTGGGGGAGCAATGAAAGAGATACCATGATAGAGGGAGACATCAAGGGAACAGGGAGAAACTGGGTGCTAGGGAAGTTCCCAGGAATCCACAAGGATGACCCCAGCTTAGACTACTAGCAATAGTGGAGAGGGTGCCTGAACTGGCCTATCCCAGTAATCAGATTGGTGACTACCCTAATTGTCATCAGAGAGCCTTCATCCAGTAACTGATGGAAGCAGATGCAGAGATCCACAGCCAAACACCAGACTAAGCTCCTGGAGTCCAGTCAAGGAGAGGGAAGAGGGATTCTATGAGCAAGGGGCATCAAGATCATGATGGGGAAACCTACAGAGATAACCAAACCAAGCTAGTGGGAATTCATGAAACTTAGACCAACAGCTGTGGAACCTTCACAGGACTGGACCTGGCCCTCTGCATAAGCAAGACAGTTTGTGTAGCTTGATCTGCTTAAGGAGCCCCCTGGCAGTAGAATCAGGATCCATCCCTAGTGCATGAGCTGGCTTTTTGGAGCCCTGCATAGCCTTGAGGCAGGGGAAGGGGCTTGGACCTGCTTCTACTAAATGCACCAGGCTCTGCTGACTCCCTGTTGGAGACCTTGCCTTGAAGGAGGGAATGGGGGGTGGGTTGGGGGAGGCTGGAGGAGTGGGAGGAGGGAAGAGGGGGACTTGTGATTGGTATGTAAAAAGAATAAAAAATTTCTTAATTAAAAAAAAAAGAAAAGAAAAGGTGGACAGTGCCTGAAGAACAACACTGGAAGTTGTCTTCTGACCTCCACGTTATGTGAACACACACACACACACACACACACACACACTGGAAGTTGTCTTCTGACCTCCACGTTGTGTGAACACACACACACACACACACACACACACACACACACACACACACTGGAAGTTGGAAGTTGTCTTCTGGCCTCCACGTTGTGTGAACACACACACACACACACACACACACACACACACACACACACACTGGAAGTTGGAAGTTGTCTTCTGGCCTCCACGTTGTGTGAACACACACACACACACACACACACACACACACACACACACACACACACACTGGAAGTTGGAAGTTGTCTTCTGGCCTCCACGTTGTGTGAACACACACACACACACACACACACACACACACACACACACACACACACACTGGAAGTTGGAAGTTGTCTTCTGGCCTCCACGTTGTGTGAACACACACATACACACACACACACACACACACACACACACACAAGACAGTGTCTGGGAAGGGTGGAGGTTTGGGTTTGGGTCCACTTTTATATTCACTCCCCTGATTTCCCTCCAGGTTTTATAAATTAAACAGGAATTATAGTAATACTTAAAATATACCCCTTTTCATTATTTAAAAGTATTCTGTGTTATACTTCATGTATTAATGGGATTTTTAAGGAAATGATATGCATGTAGTACAGAATTTTCACCCTTAAGTTTTCTTTTGTGATATGGTGAGCAGCAGTGCAATCAGATCTGCGGGACCAGATCCACGCCAGAGTTTCCATGTGTAGAGGAGAGTTCCTGGTGGTCACTCTGTCCTTGCTCCAGGAGCAGTGTGAGCAGTGCAACCAGATCTGCGGGACCAGATCCACGCCAGAGTTTCCATGTGTAGAGGAGAGTTCATGGTGGTCACTCTGTCCTTGCTCCAGGAGCAGTGTGAGCAGTGCAACCAGATCTGTGGGACCAGATCCACGCCAGAGTTTCCATGTGTAGAGGAGAGTTCATGGTGGTCACTCTGTCCTTGCTCCAGGAGTGGTGTGAGCATGCTTTCTGTAGGGAGCCCCACCCTGGCCCCTCTGCCACAGCAGGTTTCTGTGAGGTACCCCACCCGCACTTAGCAGTGTGCCTAGCTTCCGAGTGGCCTGGTTCAAGCCCAGATCAAGCAGGTCTCCAGGTTTTGACCTTTCCCTGCTTGAATGGATTTCTTTTTGGTTTTTTCCAGACAGGGTTTTTCTGCGTAGTTTTGGTGCCTGTCCTGGATCTCACTCTGTAGACCAGGCTGGCCTCGAACTCACAGAGATTCGCCTGGTTCTCCCTCCTGAGTGCTAGGATTAAAGGCATGTGCCACCACTGCCTGGCAACCTTTCCCTGCTAAGAGTTATGTATTTCTCTGTTTTCTGACATTTGTAGGTCTCAGAAACGATGTTTGATGTGGACTATTTCCTCGGAAGGAAACCTTTTCTTTATGTTCTCATGCCTAGACTTTCTCTCTATTATTCTTTCCTTTTAGGACTCCGCCATCTAGGCTGGTGTGTCTGGAATAAGGCCTTTTCGTGTTTTTGCTTGACATTTGGAATGTTTTTCTCCACAGATTCAGGTCTCCTAGTTATGTGGGATTTTAGCTATTATTCTTTTAAGTTATTGCCTTTACATCTTTTCTGCCTCACCTCATACCATTCAGTATGTCTTTTGTCTTCGGTGTTTTCCTTCATTTTCTTGCTTTTCTTATAAAATAATCATTCTTCATCAACTTTGTTTTTAACATGTAACAGGGACAGACATAAAGAATGAGGTAGAAAAGTAACAACTGAGTAAATGGTTACATTATTATAAGCTACCTTCTGTGAGGGCTCGACTTCAGTGTGTTTACTATTTTGCAGGTTAACCAAATGCAAAGCGCTGATGTGTGTTAGTAGACGGTATGTGTGGTTGTATATTCTTATAGTGTGGTTTGGGTGGTCTCATGTTAATCCAAATCTCACCTTTAGATTGTCATTTTAGGTCATGTTTGCTTTTCCTTTTCTCTTTTTCTTTTTCTTTTTTTGCTACTTACTTAAATCTTCCCTTCTGATGTTGTCGTTATAGGAGAAGTTGATCCGAGATATTGTTCATTGTCATGGAGTTTTGATAACCTCTTATTCCTACATCCGACTGATGCAAGACGACATTAGCAGACATGACTGGCACTATGTGATCTTAGATGAGGGACACAAAATTCGAAATCCAAATGCTGCAGTCACCCTTGCTTGCAAACAGGTATGGTTGCTTACAGTGAGGGGGGTTTTAGATGGGCAGTGGTATTTAATTCTAGAATAGGCTATTTGCTTTATGAACACACTTACTGAATTCTGTCTTAATGTAGAAAATTCTTTATGCCTGTCCTTTGTGATTTTCATTGTTTAGCTCTTTTATAAGGCTCAGTTGTTAGAATGTAGCCACACCCAATGCTAAGGTGGTGTTCGACTTGAACAGTAAGATAGAATTCTTCCAGTGTTTTCATCCATATGCAGTTAGAAAAGTGGACAAAATATCCACAGTTTGGAAGGTCCAAAATAATGGACAAACAAAAGTGACTACTAAATGTGCTAAGTAACTATTCCTTGGGAGTGCCTTGGGTTGGATGGTGTTTGTGTGTTAACAAAGTCAGTTTCATAAAAGATGTCTCATTTGCCCAACTAGTTCCGCACTCCTCATCGGATCATCTTGTCGGGTTCACCGATGCAGAACAACCTCCGAGAGTTGTGGTCACTCTTCGACTTCATCTTCCCGGGAAAGCTAGGCACATTGCCTGTGTTTATGGAGCAGTTCTCTGTCCCCATCACTATGGGGGGCTATTCCAATGCTTCCCCAGTACAGGTAATATGGTAGACAGTGACACCTTTGGCATTTTCCCAAACATTATACTTTGTAGCAAAGTCTGGCCAGGTTTATAAATTGGTGTCTAATAAAAATCAAAAATTGTCTTTACTCATTAGATTGTATTTTTGCAGATAAGGTTTTAAAAATATCAAGTACACCATTTACTAAATGAAAGCAGTAGGCTAAAATTTCTCTTTTCACAATAGGAATTAAATGGTTTCACTGTTGGCTTTTCCTGGGAAGTGGCTCTCAGATGAGAAGTTTAAAAATAGTTTGGAAGTGATCACAAGAGCATTGAGAAATCATGAAAAAGATTGAGCAGTTCTGGGCAGTGTGCACTGTAGTGCCAACCAGGGCAGTGTGCCTTTTACAGTGAGAAGAGGTAGACTGGAAGCTGGGAAAGACACAAGGAGCCACTCCTGTGGTGATATTGTGTTCCCCAATATATCGTGCACCCTAATAAATTTATCTGGGGTCAGAGTACAGAACAGCCACTAGACAGACATAGATTCATTCCCCTGATTTCCCTCCAGAGGCGGGACAGTGTTCTGTTTCTAGCCTGTTCTTCACATTATGCCAGTGCTGTCCAGTCTCTCTGCCCCTTTATCTGCTCTTAATGAGGAACAGTTCTAAGCATCTTTGCCTGTCGTGACCTTGATAGTTTTGAAGGCTTTAGGCCTGTTACTTGTGAACTATACCCTCCTCTTGGGTTTGTCTCACATGGCTTCCACATTGTGTTCAAGCTACACATTTCTCAGTATGTAGAGTCTCTTGCTTTGTCCTATTACTGAGGACTGCCTGGTAAAGTTGTTTAGGCCAGATTTCTAAACTCTAGATTTCATATTTCTGATTGGGAATTAACAAGTCTTTTGTGGAGAGATATCCTGAGAACAAGAACATACAGTGTGTTTCTTGAAATCCTTGTCTCAGAAGTTTGTGTGCAATAATACTTCCTTGTGTATAGGAGATACATTCAAAGACATCTGGCAAGTGCCTGGAATTATGAAGACTACCAGTCCCTTTCTTCGAGCCCCGTGGTACAGGACAGGCAGTCTGATAACTGAACTCACTGCTGATGACTAATGGGTGGGTGTCATACACAGTGGGATACACCTGGCAGAGGAATGAGTTGTGTCTTGGATGGAACAGAGCAGAGCTATACAAGATTTTATTAAACTACATAAAGAACACAGAATTTAAAACTAGTGAACTGTTTTCCTTCTGTATATTCCATGTAATATTTTTAAGTAGCAGTTGGCTTCACAGAAAGCAAAACTGGGTAAGAGGAAATTGCTGAGCATATTGTTCTTAGTTCTGAGTGGCAAGGTCTGAATGTGAAAGGGGCATTGCTTTTATTTGCTCTTCTTGCTTAAGGCCATGTTTTCTATATGCTGTTGCATCCTGTGAAGATAGTCTGCCTGCAGGTAATTATGTGTCAGACTGGGGCTAATATGATGGGAGGTGACTGGATACTAGAAGCCTCCCTAGAAATCCAGTGGCATACCACAAGGAGAATGTGGAAAGGGACATCTAGAACAAGGCAGTGAAGCTGTAACTATAGGAGATGTCACATCTAACCCTGAGACCAGAAGTTTTCAGTTTAGACTGTTGGTATCCTAGGTACTGCCTGTGTTTTATAATTATTCATGTCTGTTCACACAACATCTGCACGAAGACAGGTGGACACACACAATGCAGACGTGAGTGAGGAGTGCTTAGGGTCTTTCCAAATATTTCTAACATGTTAATAATGTGTTTAACTTGAACTTTTCTGTGTTGACTATGCTCAGACTTCTCTTAAAAATAAATTTCTTACCTTTAAATTTTAGATTTTTCTTCTTCTATGAAATGGTAATTTACTAAATTGTTAAACCTATTTTGAATTTTTTAAAGTATCAATAATTAATTGAAGCCTTTGCTTGCCTGTAAGTGAATTAGAGAGGGTGTGGCTTCCTGGGCTGTGGGTCTTTGTTTTTCTGTGTACAGTTAATACCCTCTCATGTGGCCATGTCCATTATGGAGCCATATGCTCCATTTTAGGCCAGAGTGACCTTTCATTTCTAGGATCATAGGACTCCTCTTGAACTTATTCCCTGAAGCCTAATCGCCCCTTATTAGCTGGTGACTCCCACTGCTCCAGCTCCCCCCACACTTAGCTTTTGATCTCTGCCCTTGTGAGAGGCCAGTTCCTTTGTAGCTTTTGGAGAATACAGGATTATATTATAAATAGGGATTTGTTTGAAACTAGTTTTTCCCCTAGAGGATGGTCAGTAGCCAAATAAATCTCTACTTTCAGACCTAACTAAATAGTACAGTAATAATTAAAACAAGTATAGAAGAGGGGCTAAAGCATGGTTAAACAGGTTTTCTCTTGTGTTATTTTGGCTAATGAGGTAATTTTTTTTCTGATGTTAATTTGAGAGATGTTACCCCGGGAGCATGTAGAACTAACTAACTTGATTTTTTCTAAGTTGAATTTATATACCTGTTGATCATTCTTTAACTTTTAAGATATGGAATCAATTGGGAAAAGCACATGTATTCCCTAAGCTAATATCTTTCTTTCTTCTGTTAAAAGGTTAAAACGGCCTATAAGTGTGCATGTGTCTTAAGAGACACCATTAACCCCTACCTACTGCGGAGAATGAAATCAGATGTCAAGATGAGCCTTTCTTTGCCAGATAAAAATGAACAGGTCTGTGAATCTGGGAGGTGACCAAGCATTACTCAAGTGTGCGTGTGTCTGTGTAACTGACCAGGTCTATAGCTCTGGTCCTGGGCTGTGGACAGCCTGGTTTGCTAGTCACTGTACCCATCTTTGGTATCTTCCTGGCTGTACGTTGCTCTAGTTCACAGGCTTTGGTTTCCCTCTGTTAACACGTGGGCCTAACCCTATAACTACTTGAAAATATTTCCATTTTTTTTAAGCCCCTGATGCATTCCTGGGACACAGCAATGAGAAGAGCAGTCTTGTTACCATAAACCTCGTAGGGTCACAAATAAGTAAGGTGGGGGTACGTGGGTGTTTTCACTAAGTCGGGGATAAGACACGTTGAAGGAATGGGCTTTCTCCAATGGATGGTCAGAGGAGACCTTTGACCCGTTAATCGTGCTGAGGCTTAAGAAAGGTCAAAGAAGGAGTTGTGTGGGGTTTGGAGAAAGAATTGCAGGGGATGGGTAGGGCAGGGTATTGATACTCGTGGGCCAGCAGGGGTGCCAGGGTGGCTGAAGCTAGAAGCAAGAAAGAGTGTAGCTAAGCAGGTAGTCACATGGCCATTTAGAGGTCAGATTTTCGGTTCTGCTGGTCATGAGAAGGACCGGTTTTACTCTTTATGAATATATTCCTGAGAATATACTGTGGAAGAGGTTGATGGCATCTGAGTTGGTGTTACAAGGATGACACTTGAATCCATCATGATGTTATCTTAATAGATGATTGCACCTTCTGCTCAGGGCCTTGAAGTAAAACGCATTGTAGATTTTTAGGTTGAAGGATCCCAGACATCTGTCACCAAGGCCACCTTCATCCCTGCTTCTTTCTTCCCCCATATCTCAGCTTATTTTATCTTTGTGTCCTCCCAAAGCCCTTGGACAGTGAGATGGGTCTGCTGTGATAGAGGCTTCCAGAGGACAACCAGCTGATGAGTTGAATTTAGGATATGCTGAAGTACTTAGACAAGGTCCACTGACATCAGAAGTTGAAAGATGGGAGAAGGGTCTAGGCTGGTCGTAGCCAGCAGTGAGTTGGGAAGGTGTTACAGTTCTGAGCAGAGACTGGTTTGCTCAAAGAGCATGTGGAAACCAAGCAGAGAAGCAGCTGCTCTCCTCAGCAGCATCAGAAGAGAGCGCAAAAAAGCAGCTAGCTAGGAAGATAGAAGCCCAGGCCGACAGGCTGAAGTGAGCTGGGAGGCAGGGCTGGAGCTGTAGAGTGGAGGACAGATAGCGGAACTGGCAAAAGCCTGGTGCACTTAGCAGCTCTGAAGTCAATTCTGATGCTTTGGGGCATTTTCAGTGGCATCAGTGACTTGCACCAGATGCTGGCGTGAGCAGCAGCTGGCAGGTAAGGCTGTCCCGTGTTTTCTCAGGACGTCCCCCTTTGCCTGTAGAAAGCCTGTGGGTAGGGGACTATCCTGAGGAAGACAGGTAGATGTGACAGGCAGGTGTTCAGATCCAGTGCTAAGGTTGAAGTATTGGCCCTGCATTGGACTGTCTTGTTCACTTTGATGAGGTAGATGCAAAAGTAGAGCCATTTTAGGGATGGGAACCAAACCCCTATGGATGTGGAGCCTGTAGCTTCGAGTTTGGTTTTGTTGTTTTTTATTTGTCTGGTTGTTTGTGTGTAGATGTTGAGACAAAGATGGCTGGTAGATGAGTGAGTGGCTTAGGAAGCCCCAGGGCATTGGCACAGCTATTTGGGCTTTTGGATGGTGTTAGACAGTGTGTGGAGAGGTGCCTCTTGGGGCAGACAGTGGTAGGCTGCTGTGGGATTGGGACTGCTGCTGGGCACTGGCTATAAAGCAGTCAAGGTGGGCGGGTGACTTGATTGGCTCTGGAAGCTTGTGGGGCAGATGGGGATGATGGTGCACATGGGTAGTACAAGGATAGTTAAAAGTACATCCCATGAGAGCAGGATAGGCTGGGAAGAAAGTCAAGCCTTGAGGTGGAGGTGCTAGACTTAGAGAGAAGGGACTGAAAGGCAGGAAGTGGGCAATGTGATGGCGTGGAGTAATTAACCCCAGTGGGCTGGGAAGGTGGGGCTGCTGTTAGGGCCTGGTAAACTTGGTTCCAGGTGAGGTCAAGATTCCTGCAAAGTTGGCCAAGCAGCGTGCAGGTGACTGGCCTGAGGGAGAGTCTCTCGTCACATTGAGCTGAAATGAAACATGGCTGCCACCTGGGTCCTGAGACTGCCTATGAGCAGGAAGCCAGTCTGGAGGGGCTGCTGAGTGATGGGCTGGAACTAGATGGATGATATGGAAAAGGGAGAAGTCTCTTTAGCTGAGAGATGTATCATTGTAGTTAAAATTGTGTACATTGTACTATTTTTCTAGGGAATCTTATTGATAATTTAATCATTGTTTCTTTCTTTTTCCCTTACAGGTCTTATTTTGCCGCCTAACTGATGAGCAGCATAAAGTCTACCAGAATTTCATTGATTCCAAGGAAGTTTACAGGATTCTCAATGGAGAGAATCAGGTCAGCCAAAGAGCAGACACCAGAGATCTAAGTTGTTACCAAGGAGGGTGGGGCAGGAAGAGAAGCTGCTGTTTAGAATGTGCCAGGCTTCTTGTGTCATGCCGCCTTGGTTCACTCCCCTGCCATCTGTGGAGTGGCTGCGGGGTCATAGCCACAGCTGGAGACAGGTGTGGTGTGAGGAGCAGGGTCACTGGTATGAGGGTGGAGCCCTGAGCTAGGAAGCTGGACCCAAGGTGGGGATGTGACCGTGAGTCCTGCTACCTAAGGCTCTTAACCTGGCAGGGGGTGGTGTCCAGCACCGTGCTGGGTTTTCCCAGAAATTATGACCAAAATTATATTACCAGGGCGTGGTCATGAAGACTTGTAGATTGTATCAGCTTCTCAGTGAGTCTCATGCAGAGCACCACCATCTTAGAAACCAGATTTCTCAGGTTCGAACCCGACTGTCCCCAGTGTATGGAAGGAATTTATTTATTCATTCTCCTCTTCAGGACTGTGAAAACACTTCCTAGTACTGTCCAGAATTTGACAGTGTCTGCTCAGAAATCCCATTATGTAAATCATGCAGATCTGGAGTTTGGCTTTCTAGAATTCCTTGTCTCTGTGGTGTGTCCCCAAGTGCTTGACATGAGAATGTGATGCTGGGACTGCACAATGGCAGGAACATCATGGACCAGTTGAGTCATGAGTACTGGAAGCTGGGTGTCTGAATTGTACTTAGCTGGAACATGCTGCCACAGGGTCAGGTGTTTTCTGTGCCCTTTGTGAAGACATTTTGGGAGAACTTTAACTGAGTCTGCAGCCCTTCCTGAAGTGCGAAAGCTCATTACACTGGAGAACTCGTGGCTCATCTCCACTGGATTATAGGCCTGGTGTACTTGAATCCAGCACTGTGGTCTAGTTGGGAAGAGCACAGGAATGGGCCCTGCAGGACTAGGAATCGCGTGCAGAGTGTAGGGGAAAACCCAGACCGTTGGAATATAGGGGCATACTGAAGAGGACATTTTCACATGTACCTATAGCGGCATTGTCAACATTCAGCATGAGTGTGCATCTGTTTAGGGAGTGGTAGGTTTATAATAGATTAAAGCTGCAAATACACTTATACCCTTACATAGTTTCACTGACTTGACATGTAACTTTCCTAGGGCCAAGTAGAGAAGTTCTTCTTTCTATTTATCCAGACAACGCTGTTTCCATGAGTGCTTTCCAAACAAGCCTTAGCAGTCCAGTGCATTTGGGTGTTGTGCCTTTCCCCTAGCATGTGCATGCTTGCATGACCTTAAATGCATGCTGAGCCTTGCAACCATAATCCTCCCTCTGCCCCATTGTAGGTGCATGTGAGTGTACACAAGTCCACTCTGTCCTGCTCCCAGGCTTTGAGGTGGACAGAGATGAACTCACACCATGTGCCTGCCCCAGGCTCTGCAGTGGCTGCCGTTATCCTTACACTCAGGTGCCTGTACTTTCAGATTTAGATGGTTTGTCCTATTAATCACTTCTCAGCAGTTTCTTTGTTTGTTTGTTTTGTGACTCTTTGGAGAGTTTTGACCATGTTCCTGACTTACTCAGGTCTTCTGTTGTTAGTATAACTGTTGCTTAGTTAAATCTACTATACTCTCTGAAAATTGGCTTAATTTATGATTCTTCCTTTTTACTTAAACTTTCAAACCAGTCACAGCCTGAATCTTCCCCCACTCCCAAGACAGGGTTTCTGTGTGTAGCTCTGGTTGTCCTGGAACTCACTCTGTAGGCCAGGGTGGCCTCTGCCTGAATCATTCTTACACTTTCATAAGCACCCTGTGTCAGGGTCCGGCCTGGGGGCTGGGGCGAGCAAACCTCAGCCTCTAGTCCTTTTCTGTTGCTGGACCCAACCCTGCACATCTCTTCTGTTCATGTATTTGTCATGTATGTTTGCTTTCTGATGCAGTAGCAGTAAAGAGAACTTCAGCCTCTGGCTCACACACTAAGCCACAGGGCTTTAGGGTACTTAGATATGTAAGATTAGGAGACATTTGATAAGGCACGGATTGGTATGACATTTCTGGCCTGTGTTTTTAAGGTATCTTAGTTTTTTTAATGTCATTTTACAGTGCTGTGGACTAAATACCCTTTTTTCTAGTGAAAAAATCGAATTATCAGCAATTGACTATGAGCTCTGGGGACATGTTCAGTCCACTGAAATTGTTTTCTTCCAGGGAAGTTGTCCAGTCAGGATAAGAACATGAGTGAAAGATGATTTCTTCCAGCTTGTGTTAGTCAGTTTTCTGTCACTATGACAACATACTTGAGAAGTCAACTTGAAGGAAGGAAGGTTTAGGGCTCACGGTGTCAGGGTTTTAGCCTATGGTCACCTGGCTGTTGTTTCTGGCCCTGGGTGGGGCTGCAGGTCATTTCAGGAAGCACATGGGAAGGTAAAGCTGCTCCCCTGTGGGGCTGGGAATTTGGGCTCTCAGAAAGGGAGCTGGGGACAAGGCATACCTCCAGGCCACTTCCTTCAGCCAGTCCCATCAGTGGATCAGTCTGTTGAGCAGGTCAGAGCCTTCCTGGGCCAGTCACTTCCGAAAAGCCCTATATCTGGACACCGCCACACTGGGGACCAAGCCTTCAGACTGTTTCTCATAGTGTTGACATTAGAGAGGAAATCAACAAGCTGGTAAAAGTGACTCCATGTGACATGTCTTCCTCCTTTCCTGTTGTTTACACAGGGTAATCTGAGCTCGTGTGTCCTTGTTGTTTTAATCACAGATTTTCTCTGGACTTGTAGCTCTGAGGAAGATCTGCAACCACCCTGACCTCTTTTCTGGGGGTCCCAAGAATCTCAGTGGTCTTCCAGAAGACGAGCTAGAGGAAGATCAGTTTGGTTACTGGAAACGTTCTGGGAAAATGATTGTGGTTGAGTCTTTGCTGAAAATATGGCATAAGCAGGGTCAGCGAGTGCTGCTGTTCTCCCAGTCAAGGCAGGTGAGTGCCCAAGCTGCATCCAGCAAACAGGTCGCGTCTTCGGACTCATGTCCACAAGTGCAAAAGACAGGATGTCCCCCGACAGATAGGAGATCTGCCACGAGGCCGAGGTGACAGCCCATGGGTCACTTCAGGACTGTGTGGGAGTTTGGCTGTAGGAGTCTGGCATCGTAGTCAGGTTGGAATACTTACATCATAAGGAGTTAGCAAAAATTCTCCGGTAGCAGTATTATTTCTCTTCCTGAAAGCAAGAAACACTTTGAGTGCAGGCCCACTGGGGAAGGCAAACTTACACAGGAGAAGCACTCGCTTGGGGCATATTTGGTTTGCAGACTGTCTCCTTCATCCCTCAACAGACGCTGCACATACTGGAAGTGTTCCTGAGAGCCCACAAGTATTCCTATCTCAGAATGGACGGGACCACTACCATAGCATCAAGACAGCCGCTGATTGCAAGATACAACGAGGTAACAAGGGATTTGACAGGAGGCAGGAGGGGTGCCTGTGTGCAGGGTAAGGAGTGCGCATGTCCGCCCTCACAGCCCCCTGAAAGGTCTTTGTCTGGCTAAAGGGAAGGGGGACATTATCCTTTTGAGTGTTTTGTTTTGTTTGTTAGTTTTCTTTGAAATATGGTCTAACTATGTACCTTTGGCTGGTGTGGAGCTTACTATGTAGACCAGGCTGTCCTCAAACTCACAGAGATTCACCTGCCTCTGCCTTCCAAGTGTTGGGATTAAAGGTGTGCACCACCATGCCTGGTGACATTTTGCCTTTGACGTGCACTTTAGGGTTTGAGAAGTGGGCATGTGAGATTTAGAAATGAAATGTTGAGGTTTGAGATCTGGTGAAGCATGGCCAGTGAGAGTGTCTGCATGTGTCTGTACTTGACACAGTTATTAAAAAGTGTCAAGTAGGAGCTCTGAGATGAGAGCTTGATTCCCAGAGGATTCTGGGACATGAGGTTTGGGTGGGTTGGTAACCAGCAGAGCCTGTGGAAGGGCTGTGTGGGGAGTGCAGAGCTGTAGCAGTTCTCAACTGTGCCCACTCTGTTCTGGATCTTTCCTGTAGGACACGTCCATCTTTGTCTTTCTTCTGACCACACGGGTGGGTGGCATAGGAGTGAACCTGACCGGGGCCAACAGAGTCATCATCTACGACCCTGACTGGAACCCAAGCACCGACACACAGGTCTGTCAGTTCCATGAAGAGAAGGTGTCTGCAGAAAGACAGCTTGCTGTTAGCTTTAGTTTTCATCAGGAGCTCTAATGTTATACCTGGCTTCAAGTGCATCTGCATTTTGGTCACATTCTGTTGTCTGGAGTAAAGGAACACACAGTCACTCATACAGACTGGGAGAGTCCTCAGCTGTTTATCCACAGCGTCCATGTGAGCCATGGTGTGAAGAGGGCTCACAAACAGTGGATGATGTCTTCAGTCACGCAGTCTTGGTTCTCTCTTTGTCCTGACTGTTCATCCACCTGCACAGGCCTCAAGTGTATGTTTCTTCTCAGACAGAATTTGGACTGGGGGCTGGAAGGCAGTGATCAGCTACTGCTTTCTCTTTTTGGCCCTTGGTCTGGAAGGGCCCGTATTAATGTACCTCTCTCTGCCTCAGGCCCGGGAGCGAGCATGGAGGATAGGTCAGAAGAAGCAGGTTACTGTCTACAGGCTTCTGACGGCTGGCACCATTGAGGAAAAGATCTACCACCGGTCAGTACACACGGCCACGGAGCCTCAAGTTCCTAACCTAGAGTTTTCACCAAGAAAGGTTGTTACCATTTCAAGTGTTGGTCTAGAAGAGTCTTTCATCTTAGAGGAATAATTACTATAACTGAAGGGGTATCACTGACTGTTTTGTGGTTTTATTTTTTCTTTGCCATTAAAACATATTTTGAGCCATTACTTTTTTGTTTGTTGTTTGTTTTGTTTTGTTTTTGAGGCAGATTCTCACTATGTACCCTTGGCTGGCCTACAACTCACTCTGTAGAGCAGGCTGGCCTCGACTCAGAGATCAGCCTGTTAAAGACATGGGCCACTATAGCCAGCCAACCTTACTGTTTTTTAAAATATCTGAACGTAGTAATTATGTGTCTTAATCTAAATCAGGGACTCCTTACATGTAAATTTGATGTTGTTTTCTGGGGGAACATTCTAGCTTACTGTAGCATGCCACTTGCTTTTAGAAGAACTGAGAAGTGACAGAAGTGAAGCCGGGACATTCAGGTGACCTTCGGAGAGGGTGGCAGCATGTGTTTCTTCTTCTGCCTTTTTCTTGTAACTAGACAGTTTGAGGCAGTGGTAACTACAGGGAGAGTCCAGACACTGACAGCTTCTCCTATGCCCCTCAGACTTCATTCTTGTCCCATATCCAACACCTGCACCAACACTGGGCTGTTCCAGAAACATTTTGTGTTCTTAGGGGCTTCTTGTAGGGCCTGGAGATGATGTCAGTCTTGTGAAAAGAAAGCTTTAGGCTGAAACACAAGTGGATAGGAGGGGATGGCGTTCCTTTTGGTAATGCTGTGTGGAAAGGACAACAGTGTATGACCTTACAGAGTGTAGACCAGCAGGTGGGGGCTGGGGAGCAGGGAGGTGAGGGCTATGCAAAACCCTGAACCCATCACAAGAGGGCAGGGCAGGCCTTGGCCCATGAATCAGGGAAGACTGACTGGCTCCTTACAGCTTGTAGAGGTTGGGGCACATAAATGTGAAAGGTGGGTTTGAAATGTGATAGGTCTTAGGGGTTAAAAAACAAACAACTCATTGGGCATGAATAATAAGGTATCATTTCTGATTTAAAATTTATAAAACTTGTGAGACCACCTGATGTGTTATGTATGTCGAGTTGTAATTTTCCATGGCTGAAAGTTTGGGGAGGGGGGTTTAATCATTCATAGATCTGCTTGTTAGCATCTCTCTCATATTTAAAACAAAAATTAACCTTTATCTTTATGTCTAGGTATCCTACATGCATGTATGTCTGTGCACGATGTTCATGCAGTGACTACAGGGGCCAAAAGAGAGGGCATTACATTCCCTGGAACTGGAGTTACAGGGGGTTGTGAGCTGCCCTGTGGGTGCTGGGAATTGAACCCAGGTCCTCTGGAAGAGTAGCCAGTACTCTTAACTGCTGAGCAATTTCTCCAGCCCCATCTCTCATAAGTGGAATTTTAAATTACAGCTAAACATGTTTCATACCAGTGTAATTTTATCTTTTTAGACAAATCTTCAAGCAATTTTTGACAAACAGAGTGCTAAAAGACCCAAAACAAAGGCGCTTCTTCAAATCCAATGACCTTTACGAGCTGTTTACTCTGAGTAGTCCTGACGCATCCCAGAGCACTGAAACAAGTGCTATTTTTGCAGGTATTACATTAAGTCATTTAATTAACCAATTGCATAAGAATTCTGCAGTGTAACAGTAGCCGCGTTTTCCCTGTTTCAGGAACAGGCTCCGATGTTCAGACACCCAAATGCCGTTTAAGAAGAAAGACTCCACCAGCCCCAGGAACAAATTCCAAATGCAAGAAGTTCCCCGTTTCTGACACAGCTGCTAATGGTGCCACCCTGACTGAAGAAAAGTCCGAGGCGATGGGGCCTGCAGGAAGTGCTCCTTCTACAGAAAGGGGCCCTGTGCAGGGCGACTGTCACCCGAGTGGGAGCGGAACTAGCAGTGTTGTCTTTGGAGAAGAGACAGGTGCAGGGTCCAACCTGGAGCAGCTGTCAGAGATGAGTGGAGATGGGAAGCGTTCAGGTTGTCCAGTAGTCGACCAAACATCCGGGCCATCTGGTGAGGCGAGCACCAGTGAGAAGCAGGGTCCTTCCTCCAAAGGGGAATGCTGCCGGGTTCAGACAGGACCTGCTCTCATGAGTGAACAAACAGAAGGTCATTTTTGTAAGCACAAATCAAAAAGGAAACATGATGCAGCAAAGGAAGAGACCCCAGAGAAATGTCTGCAGCCCAAGCAAAAGGCCAAGAACTCCAAGCATTGCAGAGATGCCAAGTTTGAGGGAACTCGAGTTCCACACCTGGTGAAGAAAAGGCGATACCGCTCACAGAACCCTGAGCAGGAGAGCATGGCCAAGGGGCGAAGCAGTGATGACTATGTCTTGGAAAAGCTTTTCAAAAAGTCAGGTAATGATGTTGATGAATCTCTCACCTGGGTGCTAGGGACGAATGTGGGAGTTATTCCTAGCACAGTGGTCTTTCCTAATGGTGCTGACGTTTTGAAAGTTGTATTTATCCCCCTTTCTGAAGACCTGAACGAATTTGAAACTTTAGGAAACAGTAATACTTAACATATGACCACTTACAACAGATCAGAAACCACAAATAGACTTGTGCTGCCTGAACATTAATAGGCAGTTTCCTTACATGCTTTTCCAACTATAGGAGGTTACAGGAACAGATCATGGGAGAGAGGTGGGGCTGTGGCTAGGCACAGGCAGAAAGAGAAGCTGATGGCCAAGATTAAAGAGAAAGCATTAGAGAAATCAAGTAACAGTTGCTGAAGACAGTGGACATCAGCCTGCCCTGCGCAGCTTTGGTATCTCCCGAGTGTCGTTGTCTTTGTCCTTTGCTGCATTATGTTCAGTGGGATGGCCATAGTTACCAAAGATGGAGGCAAGGCACTCTGTTTGAGAAGGCAGGTTTATGTACTGCTTCAGAAAGTCTTTGAGAGAAATTATCATGAAGAGTATACGAACTCGACTGTAGCCTTTAATGCCACCATTCACATTTTCCAGCATTTGCCTTTTCATTCACATGCATATGTAAACACGCCTACAAATATACATGCATGTATGTTTGTGTACAAATAAATATGCATACATTCCTTTACCTCTTTCTGTGTCTGTGGATAAGAACCATGGACTTGGATTCCAGTAAGGATGGAGTGATGTTTACCTCCCACAGTGCAACAGCTAAATTATTGATACCATGTGTGAAGCAGTGGTACCAAGAGGGCACCGAAGAGTGGTGATCTCTCTGAGATGGGAAACAAACTGGTCTTGGGCTTGATGCCCTGAGAGACATGAGAGGAGATGGAATCATGGACAGACTGTGTTAAGCATGCAGGGAGACCCAGGTGCTGGAGTTTATGCAAAAGAGAGTGATGAGTGGGAGCAGCACAGAGAAAGGACTCTGCTTTCATCTGCAGAGGGGCTCCTTTAGAACTCAGCTGGATGCTGATAAGTACATTCTTCAAGAAAGCTGTTTGAGGCTGCAGAAAGGCCCACTCAAAAGGATTAGCGGAAACATTTCTGTGCACACCCCTAGCAGGGGGCAAAGCCTGTGCCTACCAGCTAGCCTCTTGTATTACATAAGAAAGTATAGTATTGCCTCAGAGTTAGCACTGTTTCAGCCTCCCCTGAATCCTTACAGGACTGTATAGATAATAAATGCTGGGCAAGATAAAATTTATGATGTTTACATCAAATACAAAAATTATTGGGCACAGAAATAAGCAGGAAAATGTGATTCACAATAAGGAAGTAAATTGGGAATTAGTACAGGCATTAAATCATTGTAACTGTTCCATATATTCAAAAAGAGGCATGAAAGATGCACACATATATTGAAAGTGAACTTAGGTGAAAATGCAATATCTGGTGTGAAACATGCCTGGTAGCAGATGAAGGCATATTAGACGTAGCAGAAGAAAAGATTAGTGAACTTGAATACAGAGCAGGAGAAGCTATGCAGAGAGGAACACAGTAAATTCACAGAATCCAAAAGGCCATGAGATGTCAACAGCCTGTTATAATAATAGTAGTTAAGGTCCTGACCAAGAAGAGAGAGGAGGAGATATATCAGTCTGAAAAAATACTGGTAAAGAATATTCCAAATTAGATCAAAGCTGTATATCCATACATTCAAGAAACTTAATAAAATCCAAGCCTAGAAATGAAAGAAAACCATACCATAATAATAAAGTGGCCAAAGATGGCAAAGAGAAACAATGAAATGTGAAATGCTGTAAGCGGGGAAGAGTTTAGAAGAAACAGAGTTGTGAACCTTGAAAACCAAGATGATGATAAGTCACCTCAGTAGAATAAAGGACAGAATCCACATGATCTTCTCTACAGTGGGGTAGGATGTAGAAGGGCGGGGTCCCATGTGCCCATGGCTGTGAAGAGGACTTTGCAAGTCATGGTATCATTGCCTTGACTGGTGTAGCTCCATGGTGTATCCAGGTCAGAGCTTTTCATATTGTACCTTTTAAGTAGGTATGCCTCATGGTACATCATATACTTCAGTAAATCCCATGAAGCAAAGCAAAGGAACTGATACTGCTCTGTCTTGTTTCCATCAACATTGTAGAATCCTTCCCATGTGTCAGACTCCCTTCTTCCAGAGCGCAAGAAATCTTGACCTCCTTCTCAGCATGATAACATAGTTGTACAATCATACCATGCACGGTATTAGACTATACAGCCCATACCACCACCACCACCACAGCAACAAAAAACATCTAACAAAAGTTTAATATTTATATAACTTTTTATCTCTAATCTGAAGTTGTTAGTCAAAACACTATTCAAAAGTTTCTTGGGTTTTTCCCCCCCTCTCTTTTATAGTACAGTTAGATTAACTTATTTGTGTCTGTTTCAGGATTTCCCTTATGCTTCTTGACGTTATTGTATTTTACTTTTGGTCTAAAGCATACATTTACAAAAGTCAAGACTTGCCAGCTACCCCATCCCTCCCTTGTTTGTCCCACGAACTCATGGCATTTCCTCCCCGCGTTCCTTTTTGTCCGTGTTTTTCTTACTCTGACACAAAAGGCTATCCACTGTGTGTCCTCCTTTTAGAGCCTTGTCTATCCTGATAGTCCCTTCCTAGCAGTTCATAGGGACCCTTCTCCCTTTCTGTGGCTGTTACACGGGCACACTATAGTTTCTTCACGTTGAACACTTAGACTGCTAAGCTTTTTTCAGTCATAGGATCTCGATAAATAACCTTGTGTCCATGTGTTATTCTGCTACTAGACACACAGCTTCTTGAAAATTCCCAGAAGTAAGGTCACTACATCAGAAGATGTTTTTAGGTTTTTGAAATGATGGTACCCCCCCAAAAAAGGAATTTATAATTAGCATTTGTCCTCAGCAGTCTGTCTCCATAGCCATATCAGGACTGTGTGTTACATCTTTATTTTCTGCCAGTATCAATGTATGAAGCCAGGAGCTGTGGCACATCCCGTTAATCCAGCACTTGAGAGGCAAAGACTAACAGACTGTGAGTTCCAGGCCAGCCAGAGCTGCAGAGAGACTCCATTTCTGGTTGGTTGGTTGGTTGGTTGGTTGGTTGGTTGGTTGGTAGGTAGGTAAGTAGGTAGGTAGGTAGGTAGATTGATAGATAGATAGATAGATAGATAGATAGATAGATAGATAGATAGATAAGTTGACCATGTCTGAGGGGTAGATAGACAGACAGACAGGTAGAAGTCCATATCTGATGGGTAGAGGTAGGAAGTACAGCTCCTATCTGGCAACCACAGCAGCCTGGGGAGTTCCCTTAATCTTTTAGGGACCTTGACACAGATTAAGCTTCATTGGTGGCTTCAATGCAAAAGAGTTTGAGTTCTAGCCAGTATAAAGGGGAGTTGGGATTTAATAAAGCTATTTAAATCTAGGTTTAAGCAGGAGGTTTATGAGAAAGGGAGTTGCTCAGAAAAGGTACTGGAGAGCACAGATGCGGGCTTCAAACGCCACAGCCACCTGTCTCATCTTAAATGATAGTGAGGTGTAGCTAGAGTTTTCCTGCCTTGCCCAAAGTCAGGACAAATCTTTGTCACCTGCCAGTCCCATAGCCGCTCAGACCCAACCAAGTAAACACAGAGACTTATATTGCTTACAAACTGTATGGCTGTGGCAGGCTTCTTGCTAATTGTTCCTATAGCTTAAATTAATCAATTTCTATAAATCTATACCTTGCCACATGGCTCACCGGCATCTTCACATGCTGCTAGTCATGGCAGTTGCTGGCACTGTCTCCCCCACCTTCCTGTTCTCTCAATTCTTCTCTCTGTTAGTCCCGCCTATACTTCCTGCCTGGCCACTGGCCAATCAGTGTTTTATTTATTGACCAATCAGAGCATTTGACATACAGACCATCCCACAGCAGTGATGTGTAGGATTCGGATAGGGTTTAAATTAGTATCTTCAGAGTCGTTAAGACACCCAAATGAGGGGTTGGGGATTTAGCTCAGTGAGTGCAAGGCCCTGGGTTCGGTCCTCAGCTCCAAGAAAAAAAAAAAAAAAAAAGAAAGAAAAACCCAAATGAGAGCACCAGGTGCTTCCTGAGGGCAGCTGTCGGATTACAGATTACAGTTGCTGACAAGGAAGGTTAGGATGTCTTCCTGTAAACAAAGATAACAATTTTGTTTGAGATGCTCCTGGATGTCTACGGAGAGGAATGAGCCCCCAACCAAGAGGTCTTACACATCAGGCCTCAAGCTAGGGTCCGTATTATTTGTCATAAGGTAGATTTGCACCAAAGGAATACTCATTGTGCCAGCAGCCTTTAAGGCAAGAGTGGATTGTCTGGGGCTCTTGCTTCTCAGCAGTCAAATCTAGAGTGGGGAGGCTCCTTTCTCTTCTCTGTTCCCATAAGTTCCCTTTCCTTCTGTCCTGACTCTTAAGTGGCATCTCATTTTATTTTACTTTGCATTTATTTTATTAGTGAAATTGAATAAAAGTAATATATTGACTCATATCTTTTTGTTCTTGTGAAGTTTTTTAAGTTTTATCTTCTGCTTTCCAAGCTTTTATAAAAATTTTATTTAAAGAACAGTTTTTTCATTTATTTTACATACCAACCTCTGTTCCCTATCTTCCTCTTCTCCCAGCTCCCCCCCCATGTGAATTATGTTCATTGTTATTGTATATGGGGTTTCCCTACCATTATGTTCTTTAACTACTTTTAATTGGAAGGTTATAGGTTTATTTTATATCTCATTCTTTCCTGAATGGTTTTACTGTTTTGATTTTATCATTGATTATCTGGAGCCCTCTAGGTTTGTATCCATTAAAAACCTCAAAAGAGAGAGGGACTGGAGTTGTATATTGATCAATGGCAGAACACTTGAAGGGGGGTGGTGAGGGTAGGGAAGAACTAACTCAAAAAGGAAAATTGTGTTTCTCACTTTTTGTCACATCTTTGATTTTCTATTATTATTAGTTTAGTAGCCAACAATGCTAGCAGAATGTTACATAAATGTTAGAGGTGCTGGACATCACTAGCAGAAATAACTTGTAATGTTTACTCATTGAATAAGATTGTGGACTTAGGGTAAGGCACATGTTTTATTAAGGAAATTCCTGATTTGGAGAATGGCTTTACAGGCCTAGGTAGTGAAGTTTGTCATGGATGGCATTGAAAAGAGCATTGTAAAGCTTTTTAGATGGTGAATTTCTTAACATTAGCCAACTTTAGATTCCCATGACTCTTGCCTGAGATTCTCTATTTTTATGGCTATTGGTTCCTGTGTTTTAATTGTGCTTAGTATTTTCTCACTGATGTTCATAATAATATTGGTCTGTAGCTTTATTGTCAGTAACTTTATTTTTTCTGTATACAGTACTTGTCTGTTTTCCTGGAAAGTTACTTATTTTGTGTGGTTTTTAAATTGGCACACAGGTATACATAATACGCCTATAATGAGTTTTAAGATTTGCCTTTTTACAAAGATAACTTACCTCTTTCGACTTTATTCCATAAAATTTTCTTTTCTTTAACCTTAAGTGATTGTCCATTTTGCTGCTTTTTTCTAGTAATCTAGGATTATTATTTATTAACAGGTAAATAGATCCATAGTTGATCTATTCTCAACTTCATTATTTTGTTTTATAATTTTCTTCCAGTGTTTTTGTTTTTATTATATTTTGGTGAGAGGTTTTAGCATAATTATTTCCTTGTATTTGTGTCTAGTTAGAAATTTATTTCATTTTTATCCTCACTTAATTTTAATTGATTAGTTAATCAATTAATTAATGAATTAATTAATTTTTGAGAGAGTATCACTGTGTGTCCCATGCTGGCCTTGAATCTCTGACCCTTCTGCTGGAGCCTCTCAGGCACTGGGATTGTAGGCATGCATAGGCATGCATCGCCTTGCATCGCTGTTTCATTTTCACTGAGGCAAACATTCAGGATTATGAACTTCCCACTGATTATTAAGTGTATTTTGATGGTTCTGATATGTAGCACTCTCACTGAATGTTAATTTGTTTGAAATTCTCTATTTCTGCTTTATGTTTTCCCTCCATTGAAGAATTTATTAATATTTTAATTTTCTCACTGTACAGCTAGGAAGAATTAAATGTTAAAATTATGATTAAAAGCATTTTGCTTCGGGTATTTTAAAGCAAGGATAATTCATAACTGTCCCTCGTAGGGTAGTGGTGAGCGTGAACAGAAAGCGTTTGTGAAGTTTCCAAGTCATAACTGCCACCCAGAAAATAGCAGCCGTAAGTGCTGTGGTTTTTTCTCCTGTGACACTGGAATTGCAGTGTGCAGGCTAAGTTACCACTGTTCTTCCTTTCTCACTCCGGTTAGTGGGCGTGCACAGCGTCGTGAAGCATGACGCCATCGTGGATGGGACCAGCCCGGATTATGTGCTGGTGGAGGCAGAAGCCAGCCGAGTGGCTCAGGATGCCTTGAAAGCTCTCAAGTTATCTCGCCAGCAGTGCCTGGGGGCAACATCTGGTGTCCCCACCTGGACCGGCCACAGGGGTAGTTCTGGTGCACCAGCAGGAATGAAGTAAGAGACCACCCCCCGGCATGCTCCCAGGGAGCCCCAGTGGTTGAGGTAGACAGGCTTGTCTCTGTGGAACAAAAAGTTCCCTCGGGGAGGATCGTGTGGGTCAGGTTTGAGTGACTTGGGAAAGCCCTGTTTTCTTTCTTCTCTTTCATTTATTTCCTGCTTTCAGGAGAAGAAGCGATCAGTTTTGCTTGAGAGATGATGTTTAAAGTAGTGAGAAATATAAATAATGACTAAATGTTAGTAAGACAATTAGCCAGTTTATAGCCATCAGTGATTACTATGCTAATCATAATATTAGCATATTACTATGTAGTTATTACCCAGGATGCTTTCTCCTGTCCAGTGTTGAGTGAGGATGCTGAGTAGATCTCACTCTGAGAGGAAGTGCTCACACCTCACAAGAGCAGTGTAGCAAGCAGTCAAGACTGGTAGAGCAGGAGTGGGGACCCAAAGGCAGCGGTTTTCCCAGGAGGGGTTAGCTGTTGAAAGCCCTCTGCCTTCTGTGTCACAGCACCTAACCTATCTACCTGCCTCTCTTCCTTATTTAGGAATAGGTTCGGTAAGAAGAGGAACTCCAACCTCCCCATGCAACGTCCTTCTTCATCACTAACAGAAAAGTCTCAGGTACCAGGGTAGCCTGGCTGCCTCTCTGTTTTCTTGGATGACCAGGAGAATGTCATTTAGATGTGAAGAAAATGGTTGTAACTGACATAGTGACAGCTGATAATATAGATTCGGAGTTGTAGTGTACTTTAATATAAATCTAAGGGCCAGCTAACTTCCTAGAACACAAGATCTCGCAGATTCTCCATTTGGTGCTTAGAAAATCAATATGCACCTATCTGGAGGGGACGCGTCGGCTCTAGAGAGACCACTGTCTAAACCGAATGGCCAGAGAGCCTTGAATGTTGGGCACAGCACCATCCTTCACCACACTGCAGCAGTGGCAAAGCGGGATGGGCACCACTCTGCCTTTTGATGAAGGACGTGCTAATGCTCAGACTTGAAAACTCCCGGGTTAACACTCTAGTTTTAGGTCAATGTGAACTCCTTTAGGAACACAGACCCTGTCCAGACTCCGTGTTCTGTGCTCTTAGCAGCAGGAGCTTGAGGCCCTTTCCAGGTCAGATCTGTGTTGTTTTAAGGAAACGTGAGATGCAGGGTGGGAAAAAGGAAGGAGGATGAAAAGTGAAGAGAGTGCCAGCTGTTGTCCCACTGTGTGGGTCAGGGTCCATGTGGGAGACAGCGCAGGACAAGTCAGTGGCCATCGAAGCGGTCCTAGGCCTCTAGAAGATCGGCCCAGGCTGGGCCTGCAAGGCGACTCTCCCTCAGCCCCTCTGCTCTCACGCTCTGGTGTCCAGGAGGTTACTTCACTTCTCTTCCTCACTGCTTATGTCTTTAGGAAATGCCCTTTACAAATGGGTAGATTCATGTCCACATCCTTTACCTTGGCATTAGATGGGGTCCCGATCTTTCTCCCACATCTCACCACATGGCATTTGCGTTATACTGTGGGTCCTTTGGGGAAATAGGGAGGGGAATGAGCTGGAGGTTCAGTTTGTTAATGTGTGGTCTTCTTTCTAGAACAATGTGAAGAAGGAGGGGAAAGCTCCTGCCCCTGAGCACTTTAGTGGCAAAGAAGATGGAGCGTCTTTGTCTGGAGCCCCCAGTTCCTCCTCACTCTTGGCCAGAATGAGAGCAAGAAACCACCTCATCCTGCCGGAGCGCCTGGAGAGTGACAACGGGCACCTCCCTGAGGCTGCTGCCTTGCCTCCCTCCAGCACAGAACATGACGACCTTCTGGTAGAGATGAGGAACTTCATTGCTTTCCAGGCCCAGGTGGATGGCCAGGCCAGCACTCAGGAGATCCTACAGGAGTTCGAATCCAAGCTGTCTGCGGCACAGTCCTGTGTCTTCCGAGAACTACTGAGAAATCTGTGCAGTTTTCATAGAACTCCTGGTGGTGAAGGGATTTGGAAACTGAAGCCAGAATACTGCTGAACAACAATGCCCCTAGACTTTTTCAAATGGGAACCTCGGCTCACCAATCCTGGATGAGTGATCGTGTGTGTGTCTGTGTCTGTGCCTGTGTCTGTGTGTCTATGTGTGTGTCTGGGTGTAAGGGCATGGCTGCAGTCAGTGTTTACTGTGTCATCTACCTCAAAACTAAAACTTGAAGAAGAAAATACTTGGAGAATTTTTTTGTTTTGTTTTTTATTTTGGTAACATTATGAATTATGTCATAAAACCAGGGACTTAAGAGTTACTTCTTGGAACAAATATATTTCTTAATCCAAAAGATGCTGTCAGGGAGCATACTACTTAAGAAGAGAGTCCTTGGTTCTTGCTGGTGCTGGGAACACGTCTTCTGTTTATCCCACCTTAGCCCGTAAGTCACTTCATCAGTATCTGGTCACCTTGGTACCTTGATACAGAACTGTAAAGGTTTCTGTCCCACAAAACACATACAGAAAGAGCCTTGTTACCTATCAGATCATTAACTACCTATAAATAATGCTTTGCAGCACTGTTAAACTAGTGGGTTTGGTTTTTGTTGTTTGTTTGTTTTAAATGGTTCTGGAGATGGACTGGTGCCTTGTGCATGCTAAGCCTGTGCTTTCCCACCAAGTTCCACCCCAGTTCCATATACACATACATTCCATATACACACACATATATGGATCTCAAAGAAGAGTCTGCTTTCTGTTCTCTGTCATCATTATCTAAAGATCGTAGAAGACGTTGTTTAACTCGGTCAATAAGTTCTAAACATTCATACCTGGCTCAGAAGGAAGTCCCAATGCCTGTTTGTTTCTGGAGCCCTTTGGTTATTTTTTCTTCTAGTGATTAGCCTGCAAGGAAATGATGATGCCCTTGTTCTTGGGCTGAAGTACTGACCTGACTCATTAGTGTGAAGCATTAGTATATTATGCCTGGAATGTCTGAGATCTAAGTTATATCGAGCTAGAGAAGGCATAGATATTCCTTTAATTAAAAATAGCTGTTGAAAGTTTCTTATTGTGCAGCAAGGCAAGGAATCCATGTTTCAGCTCTGCCACTGCCCTGCCCATCCTGGGTGGGTTGAGTCTCAGGGTAGTGCTCTGTAAACATGGTCATCCAGCCAACCTGGGAGAAACTTAGAGAGCAGCTCTGAGTTAGAATAGTTTTTAATAACATACAGCACCTTTATACATTGTGCTGTAATCTGGATTTTTGAACATTAAATACTTTGTGCAGTGTAAATAGATTAAATGTATTGAACATGTTATATAATTACAAATAAAGGGTTTTCAAAGATACCAGCTTTTTACTGTATTGTCACTGTGAAAAGCCTCCAAGCAGTCCCCACCTTCCCACCCCACACCGGTCTTGCTGCTCTTCCAGAGCCCTGTGCAGTGGCCCGGGCATTTCCACAGCTACTGGCGTGGGCTGCTCCTTCCAGTGTCGTCTCTGAGTTTTACCTGGACACATGACTGCTCAGCTAATAATTGCTTCTCAGCCTCCCTGGCAGGTAATTGTGACCACATGACAGTTGTAGGCAGTGAGATGGAAAACTTCCAGCTTGAAGCTTAAGCAGAGAGTCATGGTGTGCACTCCCCTGAAAGGTCCCTGTTCTGCTGGTGGGGATGTTTGAGAGCCTCAGTGGGGTTCCTGGTGTTTCAAGAGAGGGTGTTTGTTAAGGTTTGAGTAGTTTGCCTTCCAGTCAAGAATGTCTGTCTTTGGTCTGTTACTTAAGAGTGAAATAAATGAATACTTTTTAACACTGTTTTAGAGATGGTTTTAGCACCTAACTTATTTAATGTATGTCACATGTTAATGGAATAAAATTTTCCTATTATATCTAACTTTCACATTATATAGGCCTTTTCACTCTTGAGATACAACTCTATTTCTCTGAACCACTCAACTCTAAACCCATTACAGGCTCACTTTCCCCTTACTTGCCCACACCAGGTAGTTTCCATCTTGGTAGATTATTTTAAAGTCAGTCTTGTGATTGAAAATGACCTTATTTTAATCTGAATTTCCCTGACTTCTTGAACACCAGACATTCCCATGTTTGTTGGTTATGTGCAGATTTTTGCTGTATCTTGCTTATTCATACCATATTCACATAGTTTTCTAAACAGAAGTGAAGGGCAATTATGAAATAGGCAAACATGAAAAGTCATTATGGAATAAGTCCATCCCCCACCCATTTGAAACACCAACTTTTGATTCATCACACTGCACTGTATTGTGGTGATATATTGTGTACCATATTAAATTTGCCTGAAGATCAGAGAACAGAACAAGCCACTAGATTAAACACAGAGGCCAGGCAGTGGTGGCACACACCTTTAATCCCAGTACTGGGAAGCACACACACCTTTAATCCCAGGAAGTGATGGCTGGGTGGAGAAAGATGTATAAGGCGTGAGGAGACAGGAACTAAAGGCTTTTCAGCAGAAGCGTCCCTTTCACCTTGAGGCTTTTTTTGGCTGGAGCCTTTCGGGTGAGATCTCAGAGGGTTTCAGTCAGAGGATTCATGGAATTGGTGAGGTGAAACATGGCAGTGGCTTGTTCCTTTGTCTCTCTGATCTTTGAGCATTTACCCCAATATCAGGCTCCTGGGTTTTTTATTAGAAGACTATTTAGAATTCGTGTTACACTGCATAGCTGATGATCACACTGGTCTGCACAGCTGATGATCACACTGCACTGCACAGCTGATGATCACACTGCACTGCACAGCTGATGGTCACACTGCACTGCACAGCTGATGGTCACACTACACTGCACAGCTGATGGTTACACTAGCTGATGATCACACCATACTGCACAGCTGATGATCACACTGCACTGCACAGCTGATGATGGTCACACTGCACTGCACAGCTGATGATCACACTACACTGCACAGCTGATGATCACACTACACTGCACAGCTGATGGTTACACTAGCTGATGATCACACTGCACTGCACAGCTGATGATCACACTACACTGCACAGCTGATGGTCACACTACACTGCACAGCTGATGATCACACTGCACTGCACAGCTGATGGTCACACTGCACTGCACAGCTGATGGTCACACTACACTGCACAGCTGATGGTTACACTAGCTGATGATCACACCATACTGCACAGCTGATGATCACACTGCACTGCACAGCTGATGATGGTCACACTGCACTGCACAGCTGATGATCACACTACACTGCACAGCTGATGGTTACACTAGCTGATGATCACACTGCACTGCACAGCTGATGATCACACTACACTGCACAGCTGATGATGGTCACACTGGACTGCACAGCTGACGTCAAACCCCATGTCTTTTTTTTCCTTCACACTCTACATGCTACCATTTGGTTTTGCACTGTTTTGCCAACTGTGGGAAAGTCTTCCTTTTTCTCTCTTCTTCTGGGTCTTATTTTTGTGCATTTTCTGTTCCAAGCAAATGATAGAATTAGCTTATTAAGTTCCACTAAAGTTGTGTTGCTCTTTTTGGCCAAGATTGCATTAGTGTATCCATTAATTGGAGGATAATAGACTTCTTCATAATTAATATAATTTTCCATTAGTATTATGATAGGCCTCATTTTATTTAAGTCCTTTATATACTTGGGTAACATTCCTCATAAGGGTCTTGCACATTTTATATTATCTTTGTTCTAGATGTTTTACAAAATTTCAGTTTAGGTTAAGGATCATTTACTTTCACATAAAAATCTGGATAATTGGAACATTCCTCTATCAACTTTATGTTGCTTATCACCCGGAAGCTTCTACATTTATTTTTTTCAGTTTTGTGTCCTTATTAAGAAGCCACTACTGGGCTGGAGAGATGGCTCAGAGGTTAAGAGCACTGCTTGCTCTTCCAAAGGTCCTGAGTTCAATTCCCAGCAACCACATGGTGGCTCACAACCATCTGTAATGAGATCTGCCGCCCTATTCTGGCCTGCAGGGATATGTGCAGACAGAACACTGTATACATAATAAATAAATCTTTTTTTTGTTGTTAAAAAGAAGAAGCCACTACTTAGCTCTGCACTGGTGGCACATGCCTTTAATCCCAGCACTCGGGAGGCAGAAGCAGGTGGATCTCTGTGAGTTCCAGGACAACCAGGGCTACACAGAAACCTGTCTCAGAAAACAAGGTCATAAATACAGTCTCATGAATGGCCTTGTTAGTTACCTATGTGGTTTGAATGTGAAGTGCCCCACCATAGTCTTGTGTGTTTGAATGCCAGGTCTCCAGCTGGTGGCATTCTTGGAAGGTTGTGGAAAAACTGGAGGTAAAGTCTTGCTGGCAGAGGTGGATCTCTGAGTATGGTCCTTGAAGTTCACAGTCCAGCCCCACTTTCTGTTCTCTCTGCTCCTTTCTGACTGCCAGTGCTATGCACCAGAGGACCTCTGGAAGGCTGCCATGGGGGACTACCATCTGCAACTGTGAGCCGAAGTGAACCCTTCTTCCCTTAGGTTCTTCTGTCTGGGTATTTGTCAGCAATGAGGAAAGTGACTAAATACAATTATATAGAGAGTTATTTCCCTAACATTTGAAAAACCGATCATCCCTTCCTCCCTGATTTATACATTTATTAAGCCACCACTGCCATCATGTCCTATGTCCATGTAATTATGGGAATGTTTCTGGGCTCTCTATTTTGTTAGTTTTATCCATTCATCTTTACCAATAAGCCACTTCCAACCATGTGGGTTTCTAATTGGTTGTCACAAACCGTATAACAGCTCTTAGATCTTTGTTCTGTACATATGGATCATCCTGTCATTTGTATTTTGTGATCACAGTAAATGTGGGGACTGGCTGAAGATTATTTATGATGCTGAGTTCCATGCATCTCTGAGTAAATCACAGCTACTCATTTTTACTACCTGTTTAATAAAGGAGTAATTGCATTGTATCTCACATTTTGTAGTAGAGTCGTGTACAACTTAGACTTAGTCCCGACCCTGATCTTATCCCTTCTAAAACTGTACATGTTCTCATTTACAAAGACGTGTCTCCTGGTTCTCTGTAAGTTGGCTTTGCTAACTGACGCTGTATGTATCTAGCAACTTTACTGAACTTGTTCTCTGATGATCTGTCACTTACTCTGTAACACTAGGGTCAGCTATAGTAATGATGATTGTGTTTCAGCACTTCTGATCCGTCTCTTTTTCCTGCCGTTGAAGAGAGGCTTTAAAAACTACAGTTGCTTCCATTTTCTAATAGATGGTTAAATTGGGTTAAGGGAATGTTCTTCTCAGTTTTGAATCCAGTGCTGAATTTTATTAAATGTTGCTTCTGCTTGTATTAACAGTTTTCTTCTTTAACACCCTTTCCTAGTATGGAGAAGTACACAGTTAAATCTTCCAACATCAAAACTGCTCTTAAATTTCTCTCAGTTTGGAGTGAGGTAACCCAGACTCAGAAAGACAAACATGGTATGTACTCACTCATAGGAGGATACTAGATGTGGAACAAGGATGACTGGACTGCTACTCACATCACCAGGGAGGCTACCTGGAAAACAGGACCCCAAGAAAGACACGGGGATCGCCCAATGACAGAGAAATGGAATGAGATCTACATGAACAGCCTGGACATGAGTGGGGGTAGTGAAGGGCGAGGGTCGAGGGAAAGAGAGCTTGGGGGAGCGGGAGATCCCAGCTGGATCAACAACAGAGAGGGAGAATAAGGAATAGGAGACCATGGTAAATGAAGACCACATGAGAATGGGAAGAAGCAAAGTGCTAGAGAGGCCCACAGAAATCCACAAAGATACCCCCACAACAGACTGCTGGCAATGGTCGAGATACAGCCCGAACTGACCTACTCTGGTGATGGGATGGCCAAACACCCTAATTGTCGTGCTAGAAACCCCATCCAACTACTGAGGGATCTGGATGCAGAGATTCATGCCTAGGCCCCGGGTGGATCTCTGGGAGTCCAATTAGCGAGAATGAGGAGGGTTTATATGAGCAAGAATTGTTGAGACCAAGGTTGGATAAAGCACAGGGACAAATAGCCAAAGGAATGGAAACACATGAACTATGAACCAATGGCTGAGGGGTCACCAACTGGATCAGGCCCTCTGAATGGGTGAGACAGTTGATTGGCTTGATCTGTTTGGGAGGCATCCAGGCAGTGGGACCGGGTCCTGTGCTCATTGCATGAGTCGGCTGTTTGAAACCTGGGGCCTATGCAGGATCGCTTGGCTCGGCCTGGGAGGAGGGGACTGGACCTACCTGGACTGGGTCTACCAGGTTGATCTCAGTCCACGGGGAAGGCTTTGCCCTGGAGGAGGTGGGAATGGGGGGTGGGAGGGGGGGAGAACAAGGGAATCCGTGGCTGATATGTAGAACTGAATTGTATTGCAAAATAAAAAAAAAATTTCTATCAGTCTGGAAGTGGGGTGGGAGTGATGTACAGATACACTAGCCAAAAATCACTGTCACTGGGGAAAGTGGAAGAATAACGCCTCCCAAATGAAACCACATAATGCCTTTGGAAATTGTCCTTACAGCACATCGAAAATGAGTATCATGCAAGCAAACTTATGAAGTCTTGGTGAGAACAGTGAGTCTGAAGTGAACCATAGACCCTCAGTGTGATGACAGTAGTCATGTTTTTCTTTGGGTTGCCAGCTCCCGAATAACAACATGGAGACTTTTTATTAATTATAAAGGCTTGGCCTTAGCTTAGGCTTGTCCCACTAGCTCCTATAACTTCAATTAACCCATTTATATTAGTCTATGTTTTGCCTCATGGCTTTTTACCTTTCTTTCCCAGTCTGTGTGTCCAACTCATTCTGTGTCTCATTTGTGCCTAGAATCATCTCTTCTTTTCTCTCCCCGGAAATCCTGCATATCCTCCTGCCTAGCTATTGGCTGGCCAGCTTTTTGTTACACCAATCACAGCAACACATCTTCCCACTGTGTACAAATACCCCACAACAGATGACAACACCAGGTGTTATCAGAGTCATGTCTGCACACAGAGCTTGTGCCACGTGAAAAACAATGCCCAAGAGACCACTACTGGGGAGAAAGAAAGACTAGCCAGTGACCAAAGGATGAAGTGGGAGTTTTTTCAGCTCCAGGGTGGAGGGGTTACAGACACACAACAGAAATGAAGGGGAGAGGGGTGCTAACAAATGAGGAATAATGAGAAATGGGTTGGAACCTTACAGGAACTCCATCGCTACTTCTTTTCTTTCCTGGTCTGATGTTTCTGGTTGTGGCAGCTGGTGAGTGTCTGCTGTTAGCCTTGAAGTGGGAAGAGAGAGACAAGGCAAGTTTAGGTCAAGGAAACTGTATGACAGTCTTGGGTAAAACAGTTCTCAGTGATCAACATGTCTATACGCAGAGCCGGAAAGAGGAGGGGCACAGACGTTGTTTCTCAGGAAAAAGCATCAGTGGAGGCCAGTTGACAACAGACAAAGGAATAACAACAACAATCAAGCCAGCATTTGTCCCAGAAGATCATGTTCTATTGTAAAATCGCAATAGACTTTTTAAGCAAAACCAAGTAGAAGTTGTTAATAGAGCTAGCAAGAAAAACTAAATGCTGCTTTCCAGGACTCCATCTGAAACAATTCAAGGCCACACAGAGAACACTTGCAAGTGAGTATACAAAATGATAGGGAATGCTGTACGGTGTATATTTCTCTTTGCCTCTCTAAACTGTTAAAGGGAGCTGTACAAACTAATGGGTATCTAGTGCTTTGCTGTCCTTGGATACGCAGAAATGTAATATATGTTTAATACATTTGCTAAAATGTCACAAAAGAGGTGGGTGGGGCAAAACTGATGAAGTGGCTTGGTTAAATGATGACTGATGAAGTCATAATTATCAAAATGTATTGTTTTTAACATAATATTATATAAAGTGGGAGAGGAGAGAGCATTATGGAAGTAATGTTTTTGTACATAGTGTAAGTTTGCAGGAGATTCTGGTGTTAGTGTGTGTGTCCTAAGCCCTGGAACAACCACTAAGAAAATAATGACAGAGATACAATGGAAAAGTCATTAATGAACTTAAAATGTTGTATTAGAAGGTATCACTCAGTGCAAAACAAAACAAACAAAAAAAGCCACCTGTAAAAGAGGTTAAGAGGAGAGAGAAGGATGTGAAGGTAGGGGACCTGTTTGTGGGTGTGGGGGAAGTGGGAAAGAAAAAATGGGGGTAGAGGTGGCCGAGATACATTGTATACCTGGATGAAATTGTCAAAGAATAACAAAAGATATCCCCTAAAGTCTTTTTAAAAACAGATCCAGAGGTGTCAGCTTCCCTCTCCTCTCCCCTCCCTTCCTGCTTCTCTCCCTATACTTTCTCTCTCTTCTTGTCCTCCTTCCTCTCTCCACAGCCCACTCCCCTGAGTCTTGGAGCTAAGTCATAGCTCCATACCAGACTGCTTCCCGTGCACCTTGACCCTTCAGTGTGTCTGTTTTCCTCAAAAACAAGACAGTCTCTTAAACAGCCACAGTAGTTAGTGGGCAAGCACATCCAACATCAAATCCTAGCATTTGAGACGCGGCCACAGGCGGCTTTCCCTGGCCATCCGGACTCAGGCGGCTTTCCCTGGCCATCCGGACTCAGGCGGCTTTCCCTGGCCATCCGGACTCAGGCATCCTCTGCAGCTGCTTGCCTGTCTGCTCAGAACCACAGCACTGGGTTTGGTCTCCATCTGTAGCCACCTGTGGCTAAGACAGCACCCACTGTCCTCATCCCCTGTGCCCATCACAGGATGAGGCTGTACAGTGTGTCCTTGTCATCGGGTGAACTGACCTGGAGAGGCGCCTCCAGTGCAGTCCATCTGTCCCTGGACGGCTGATGCTCCTGTTGGGTCCTGTGTATGGTGGGCTCCTCAAGACTCCTTCACCATCAGCAATTCTTGTTCCCTCTGAGCTTAGTAGGTGACACGTGGGGATTTTTTTTAAATAAATGAGTATTTTGTTCCTCATCAGACTTTTACCCACTGTTTTAACCTTCATTGATGCTTTTTTCCTAAATCCATTATGACCATGGTGCCTGCCAAAGCATCCTTTGACTCTATCATTCACATTTATTGGCATTTACTGGAAGGAGGAGCTGGCTCTATTATTTATGTACTTACATCAGAATGGACGAATAGCATCCTATGTTATTTGGTAGATTATAATCCATTGATGCTGTCTTTTATTTTGAGGTTCAGACAGACCCAGTTGTGGCTATGACTACTCTGAGCTGGCTCTGGCAGCCTTTGATGCGCCCCATGGGCTGCCTCCTTTCCTCCTGGCACTGACTCCTTGTTACTTATCTGCCCTTGCTGGAACCAGCCATTGGCCATCTCTCTAAGGAGTGGTTGGTCATCTTTCTAGGGAGTTGTGTCTCCTCCTCTTCCTTTTACCCTTCCCTGTCCTCATTTTAAACTGTTTATTCTGGAATGATTTTGAACTTGTATAACCTTTGCAAGACTGGCCCCTGATTCAGTGGAGAATGGTATTCAGAAACTGCCCTGTGTGCTGCCCGCCATTGGAATATCACCTGTGTTTATTTTGTGTCTATCCTCATGAACGAATGGACACTAAGTCAACGATCTTGTTATAAAACATCTGTCATTTAAAATAAGTGTTTGATGACCAGTGGAAGGAATTGGAAGAAAAAACGTGAAGTCAGTAACAGATCATGGATGCGATAAAACTGCCATGGTGGAACAGGAGGGATTGGCATCTGGGAGTGGAGACAGAACACCAGCGAAGCAATGAGCCCTGTGTTGCTGGACTTATTTTTTTGTTTTGTTTTGTTTTGTTTTGTTTGTTTTTGTTGTTTTGAGACAGGGTTTCTCTGTGTAGCTTTGGAACCTGTCCTGGAACTCACTTTGTAAACCAGGCTGACCTCGAACTCCTGAGTGCTGGGACTAAAAGGCGTGCGCCACCACCACCCGGCTTGGACTCATTTTTTAAAATGTAGAGGGGCAGCATATGTCCAGCTGTTGGGAAAGCTGACGTGGGCTAAGAGATTCAGCACATTCCTGTCAGAACACACGAGTCTAGTACTCTCCACAGGCCTGGGAGGTGTATACATCATTATCACCATCCTAGTTAGTATTTCATTGCTGTGATAAAACTCTAACTAAAAGCAGCTTGGGGAGGAAAGGGTTTATTTAGCTCTCAGGTTACAGTTCATTGTTGAAAGTCAGGGCAAAAACTCAAGGCAGGAACTAAAGTAGAGACCACGACCATGGGGGAACACTGCTTAGTGGCCTGTTCCCCATGGCTTGCTCTGCTGATCTGCTCTCTTATACAACTCAACCCTACCTGCCCAGGGGT